AGCAGGCCCTCCAGGAAATTCCAAGCGGCGGCGGCAGCCGCTGCCGCTCGCGCCCGCTTGCGGAGAGCCGCCCTCTTGCGGGTAAGGTTTCTGCCAGCAGGCTCGGGAGCTGCCGTAGGTTGAGGGTCTGCGGCAAGTGCGGCGAGTTGTTCATCCATCGTCACCGTGAACCTGGGGCGGCTATCGGGCGGGCCGCGGCGACGGTTGTTACGGTCGTTGCGGTTGTTGCGATTGGTGTTGCTGCCGGTGCAGTCGTTGGTGCGGCGGTCGTCGGTGTTCGATTTACGGCGGCGTGGCATGAGTGCGAGGTTGATGCCCAGGTGTGTCATTCGGTAATGTCATAGGACTGTGCGCAGGTAGAGGTCTGGGGCTGAGTACACAGGCATGTAGGATGATGCACGACGCACGATACGCAGAGTTTAGGTCGAGAGGTGGATGGTGGGGCGGGTATCCCCAACACGGAAAACACTAGGTGAAACCGATACGGGACGCGCGGACGCACAATATGAGAGGGTACGTCCCTATCGTTGTAATCGCGACTGTGAGTGATGACCACGCATGACGGACCGGATAATGTAGTATCGGAGGAGTTGGAAATGCATGCATGCTTGGAGTACCGCAGCTTGCTCGCTTGTGCTGTGATCACGGAACGCTTTGCATGTCTACAATCGAACTCACAGAGAATAGCTAATATTCTATGCAGGTGGAAGTGGAAAACCTGGTGATGACGTTGACTAGCCCTTCTCTGAAACAATAGCAATTGAACCGGCGGGAAGTGATATCGATACGTAAGACTGTATGAAGTGGATTGACACAGGCGGGAAGTGATATCGATAGGTAAGCCGTTTTTGAGCCACCTTTGGCAAAATAGGAAAGAACGATTGGCCATCGGTGATCGGCCCTGTGGAAACAACGCTCCGTCCTCTCGTGAAGCGTGGTCAATGGTCTAACTACTAGGGCATGCAAAACATAAGAGTACCCCCCCCCCCCCCCGCTTTCCTCCAGAGATTGACTACATGAGCGGACCTCCTGCTCTCGCGTTCTCTCATTTCAAGGTTCGGGTTTGACCTTGAACGAGGACAACCGAAACAAAAACCAAAGACACGAGTAAGCACGGTCGCCCAACGTGCAGAACGTTGTGAGGGCACCAGCGACGGACTGCCATAGTATCATTCCGTGGTCTACGTACCACGACCAATCAAATCAGGGCCGGAAAATACTGCCGTCTGTTTATTCTTGTGGCAGTTCTCGTTCTTGGGGAGGGCGACCACGCAGCGAGGTCGTCGACACACGCCCATATGTCCTTTCCTTGTCCTTTACCTCTAAGTCTTGCTAGCGTGGTGAGCGGTGGAGAGAAAACAAGGCCGGAACGGAGAACGAAGGGGCGAAGCACGGACGTGCGCAAACAGCTCGCCGAGAAGGGACGTCTCCCCTTTTCTGACAGAGACCATTTTGGTTGTTTTCGCAGGCAGTAGCACGGTAAAAGTGCAACAAAATCGCCCCGCTCCTCTAGCACACGAGAACAACGTGAAACCTCACCGCGTGCAGGAAGCCCTTGTCGAGAAGCTGCGTCAGGGTGCACTCGATGCCCACCCGGAGGATAGGGAGGTCCGCCGGGCTGACCTGCGCCTGGTTGTCCACCAGCTGCGACCCTCCGCCGGGGTTGCCGTTTGTGCGGGCATTCCCACACGCAGGGGAAGAGCGGACGAGTGTGGCGGAGGAACGCGACGAAAATCGACAGCAGGATGAGGGTTTTGCGTGAACCGAGGGAGAGGGGGTACGGCACCGTGTTAACCACCGGACCGTGAAGGGGGCCTTGGCTTCGATTGACGGTCGTAGCGATAGGCAGCGTGATGATAGCCACAGAGGATGTTGATAGGAACATAAGGAACTTTGTGACACTGAAGCGGTAAATGATGCAGTTTTGCCCTGTCTGCACATTTATCAAGGAAATTTGGCAACGACATCATGGGTGTGAAGGACACGTAGGGGGTCGAAAGTGAACAAATTGTGAGAATGCGCTGTAACGCCGGGAAAAGGGCCCACGAAAAAGTGCATAAGTGACGGCAAACAAGAGAGGGAAATATGGGAACATGACAATGCTAGGAGCTGGAGCCCTCTCGTTATCGAACTATTGTCAGCACGCGAGTGCCGCCTCCCTGGTCTAAACGCTGACAATTCTCGGCAAGAGCGACAACTTGGTGCATGCTCGCTGTATTGGTCCCACACACGATCATGCGCTACTTACAGCCTCTACACACACACACACGACACGGTTTGGATTGTTTTTGCCGACATGCCCCCCCCCGAGCCCAAAGAGCCTGGTCCGGTGAGAACCCGGCGTGCTCCGTCCCGGCTTTGCAGGGATGCGAGGTCAACGGTCTAACGACTACGGCATGCACGATGATGAGTACACCCCCACCCGAGCCCAAACCATGAACGTCGAAGGCAAGCTAGCTTGCATGCACCCTGCCTAGGGGCTACGCTCTCCGACTGTACCATCCAAGAGTCGCACCCAGCAGCGCGTGTGTCCGCATCAAACGAATCAACACGAGATCGTCTTGCGACAGCTTGCTGGCTACAGCTGATTCTTCCTTCAAGCCTTCGTAAGGCAGATGATACACCGCAGTACATGCGGGAAATATAACCTCAAGGCTATCCTTCACCTCTCTGATGGGCCTCTGACGCTGATCGACCGACACCTGGCTGACGGTGTGATGAAAAAACTACCGTTCCAGATGTTTTTGATGTCTATGTTGAGAGCCCCATTGTCTATCACGGCGCCCAACCTATGGCACTACATACCTTTTCTCCGTCGATCCATTCGGACGTTATGACTCGCTTCGCGCTGTAGTCTAGCAGCACCTTCGGAACAAGTATGCCGGGCATAGCATGGTATAGCTCACGAAATTGCACCATGTTTTGCGCCTGCACGAGCGTGTGAGAGGTGATGTGATTTGGGGAGTGGGGGGGGGGCGGAGGGAGTCAACATGTTCTGTCCATTTGTAAACAGTGGGTAAAAGTGCTAAACGTGGCTGGACTCAGCATCAAGCATTATACACGCTCGTCTCACTGAGGCTGGCGTGATTTCATCGGTCGGCCGCGTGTAGCACGGTCGGTGCTGGAAACACGCATACACACCATAAACACAAACACACACTGTGTTTTGTGTCCGGGGAGCCCGCAGTCTTGAGAGCACGTCCGTTCGTGCCTTGTGTCTCGTTGTAAGGCTGGCATGTTTTCATTGGTCAGCTGTTCATCGCGCCCGGTGGTGACTAATGAAGCACACAATAATTCGACTTTGTGCCTCTTGCTGCACGTTGGCCAACGGCATTTCACTAGCCGGACGGTCAAGGCGAGGTCGATGTGAATGACAAACAAGAAACAACAACCTGTTACTTACGACAAACAGTCCCTTCACCACGAAGATTCAAGCAAGAATGGATAATAGTAAGAGATGAATACAAAGAAGGGCAATACATACCCTGGCGATAACACAGAAAAATAATCTTGACCTTCATTGGTAAAACACAAAATCGCAAAAAAACGCCTTAGCACCTCCTTCCTGTAGTCCAGCTCCTCGAACAGCCTCGACCCGTACTCGTCCACCGCGGCCACTAGGTCGCTGCGGACGACCAGCCGGCCCCCGAAAAAGCTGGAGCTCCTCGACAGCCGCGTGATGGCCTCCGCAACCCTGCGTGCCACGTAAAAGTCGAGTCCAACCGCCTCCAGCAGGTCCGGCCGCTGAACCTTAACGGCGACGGGTCTGCCGTCTATCTGGGCTTTGTAAACCTGTGCACGCGTCGAAGAAAAAAGGGAAATTGTCACAGTTGGAGGCTTTATCTGTCAGTCTGGGGTTTGCCGCGTGCCTGTCCCAACAGCAAGAGGAGGGCCGGGGGCTCTATGATCTATCTCCGTCTCTCCGCGTGTGTTTCTGTATCCTGCTGTCGTATCTATGTGCCTATTTGTGGCACGCAGGCGGAGTTAACAACTGAAGCTGTCGTCCCGTCTTGTAGTTGCAGGGAGCTCGACCGTATCGCACAGAGCGTAAACTGGTGGAAAGAAAACAGACGTGCATGTGCACCTGACCCAGGCTCGCAGCCGCCACAGGGGTGTCTCCCATGGCTTCGAAGATGTCCTCCGGGTAGCCCCCTAGCTCCTGCCATACAGACGAGCAACAGGGAACACAACTCGAGAGGTGATTCATGTCCCGCCCTTGGTGGCGGGTGCAAAGAGTGGTATATCCGTTAGGTCGATGAACCGACACAAGTGTGTTGGTTCCGAGCAACTTTTGCATTCACGTTCAACAGCATCCCGTGCAACTTTCGTGTTGCAACCTGAACTGCTGAAAAAGCAACTCAAGGTACAAGGCCGTGCCATCCTTGTTGGACTCCCCCAAAACGATACGGACGGTGTAGCTTACGCCGGTCGCCGGCCAAGACCCCCCTCGCCCCGCTCACACCCTCGCAGCGGGCATGCCCACGAACCCCCCTCCTTGTGCAGCCTCCATCAATAACTTCGATACGGCATCCTGCAGCAAGTCCTGTCGCCCCAAAAGACACTTATATCTGCCGAGAGCTGTCTGCCAAGGCACGACGGTGCTGACCGTGACGGAAATAAGACAACAAACACACACCTCGTGGATAAACCTCCTTGCCACTTCATTGGAAAACAACGGCATCGCGTCCTGCAGGAGCAACAGCTCTCCGGCGATAGCCTCCCCCACCAAGTCTGGTCTCGAAGCCAGCGCCTGCCCGATCTTGACGAAGTTGGGTCCGAGGCGGGTCACCGATTCCCGGATGCGCGTGGGCGTGTTACCGCCTGCCTCCGCCTCCCCCGTGGGCACCCGAATGCCGGTGTCGGTGTCGTTGCCGCTGACGAGATAGTCCATCCCCAGGGCAAGTAGGACGCCGCAAACCTCCACGAGGATCTGTGCGCACCGAGTGTAACAAGAGGTTGGAAATTTAGCCTTCCTTGCAACCCGCTAAACGACTCCGCCAACTACTATGGCGGTGTCGATTGGTGGGTCGTGGCCTACACGATGCTCGTGCGTGTGTGCCAGGATTGTGAATTGCAGCAGTACCCTGGAAACGCTGCCAAACGCTTCGTTGTGGCGGCATGCTGACGTAGAAATTTGCTGCATGTACAAAACCAGTGGTACAAAAGGGAATGCTCGGCCCTCAGTCACGTCTAGTCACACAGGTAAAACGTCAACGATGGCGAGGAATGTTCGGCCCTCAATCACGTCATTTGTTGCCGCAGTATCAGCGGTACTTTATACAATCTGTACGTATTCAACGGCGTCGTTGTCGTCGTCCTGAAATACCGCAACAGCAACGCGTGTTGCTTTGCGGCCATGTGCCCAAGCAGCACTAAACAAGATGATACGGTAGCAAGCATGCACACCTGTGGTTGATGAGTGCGACACACACCAGGGGCGGTTCCGGTTGCTGCTGGCAGTGCAGACCGAACATATACCGCCTCGTGTCAGAAACTGCTGTATCATGGTAGAAACATTGTGTACATAGCTGCAGATCCTGCCGCAACTTTTCTATCCGAACTCGACCTTCTAGACTACCAGTTAGGCCATTTCTTGCGGTTCTTCTTTCGCAGATCTTTTTTTCCCCCTTTCGGACAACCCAGAAAGGGATCTACAAAAAAGATGACGCCCTTCTTACGGTGTTGGTCGATCCTTTTTCACCGACCAAAAAATAAACAGACTCTGCAACGGCTGCTGTCACACATACATGCACCTTCCCACCGAAATGGTTTTTCGGTGATATCTCCTCACAGAGTGAAGCAGCGCCTACTGTAAAGCTATCCCTCGCGAGCTGTGTGTATGGTCCGTCTTGGGTGGCGGCTGACAGAGACCACAGGGCGATAGGAGGCACGGGAATGGAGGTGCCGAGAGTCGACAGCACGCTGAAAAAATGCCCACCGCGCCAGCAACCATTTTTTTTGCTCTTGTGCCCCTGTCAAAACTTTGGTTTACCGGTACTCCCTCGCCACCCACTCTAGCAACAGCGATGACAAAGGTATGCGCCACGAGCTGTGTGTATGGTCCGTCTTGTGTGGTGGCTGATACAGACGAGGAGGCTATAGGACGCTCAGAAATTGTGAGCGCGAGAGTGGTGGACAAGCGGGAAAGATGATCCGCCGCATCTTCAAGCAATTTTTTTCGCTCTTTTGCCCGTGTCGCAACTTTGGTTTGCCAGTACTCCCTCGCCACCCACTCAAGCAACAGCGATGATAAAGGCATGCGCCACGAGCTGTGCGTATGGTTCGTCTTGTGTGATGATTGATACAGACCAGCAGGCTATAGGACGCCCAAAAGTTGGGTTCGCAAGGTTGACAGTACACGAAAAATGACCCACCGCTGCTGCGTCCAGGCTCTCTCGGTTTGTTTGCCTCTTGTTTGCCGGACACATCGGGTTGTCCACCTGGTCCAGCCCACTGAAAAAACATTGGCTACCGCCGGTGCCACCGACTCTGTACCAGCAACATGACACAACTCGTGTGACCACCGTTAGAGTTTGCGGTGGGCCGTCGAAGGTTCAAGTTTCTAGGTACGAGTGAAGTGGTTGTGACCAAAAAAAGACAACAGTTTTGGACAGCCTCCACTTGTCCAAAACCGCCCCAAAAAAAGACAGGATGGGCTGTCCAAAACGGGTTGTCTTTTTCTGGCGATCTTTTTTTGAGGAAAAAAGACATTGTAAGAAGACCTTCTACGGCCAGTTGTCTTTTTTTGAGAAGGAAAAAAGAAAAACATCATAAAAAAAAGACAACCGCAAGAAATGGCCTTATGCATGTTGTGAATGCCGTAGATTGTGACGTCAGATGACCTGTCGGAGATCTACCTTCGGGGTGTTGCCACAGATAGAGTCAGTGTATAATGGACGTTGAACCCTGCTGCAGCAGGCTCGCTTCTCCCCTTACTCACAACACAACTATCCGTACTCTTCACCCCCTCCACAAGAGGTTGAACTGGTGTGTAACCACACCACACGTCGCAAGGGGAACTTGTCCGCACGTGAACCTGGAGACATCCGTCTTATTATATTCGACTGTGGGTGTATCTCGAATGGGTAGTCTTTTCTGTGTGTGTATTTTTTTCTCCGTTCCCGACGTTCCTACACCGCGTGAAGACAGATGCACAACCAACTACGTAATACTTTCTGACGCTATGAATTCATTGCTAATCTGTCTCAGACTCTGTTCTATGATAGAGATGGATTCCTTGTGTCATACTAAGAAAAAAAAAAAAAACACTACTTCCGATCTTCTGGTCTGTACTGGAGGTGTCCGTACCTGTGCCACGCGACCCAACGCCCGTTCCGGACGCAGCTCAAAGTAGCTGTCCATCGCTGCGGGATCATATCCTCCATCGGCCAGCGACCCTCTCGTCTCTCGTCTCGCTTCCCATGGAGGCTTCCACGAGGACACGGGAGGAATGTCGCTCCTGTCCGATGTCAGAACCATGCTTGATGCGGGACGATACGGCGACCTGTGCTGGTGACATACATGTTGCACTCTCGGGGCAACAAATGGTCGGGCACTACCACCACCACCACCAACAGCGGCTGTCGATGCCAATATCTGCGCGTGGACGATCATGGACAGCGCGGTGGTTTGCCGCGTGTGGGCAGCGAGCATCGATGCAACGTACGTGGATGTCTGACCGCGACCAAGGACTGTCATTTTCAGCCCCGGGTTGCCGCAAAGCCTCTACAGGAACGCGTCGCTGAACTCCCTCGCTTGCGCACTTGTTGCCTCGTACGCTTGTGTTGCACCACCGCATACCTCCCTTCGCCACCACCTCTCTCCTCATGAGGTCCATACGGGCGACGGCATGGCTTCTCAGCCTGCTGTCCAGCTTGACAAAATGCCATTCTTTTGTCGCTCAGCCAAAACTCGGGTTGGCGCTCAGATGGAGGGACTGTTGTCGGTCTGCCACATGTTCGGTTTACAGCAGCAGCGGCAGCGGTAGCAGCGGGCCTGGTGAGGTGCAGGCGACCAAGAAGGAAAACGGGGGCTCAGCAGCATCTCAGGAGAGCGACATGTTCGAGTGGCTGGCCGCCAATGCCGGGATACGTGACAAGGCTGTCTCGCTCAGTGTGACGGCGGGCGGTTACCGCGGTTTGCTTGCCGACGGGGATGTTGCTCAAGGGCAGGCAAGGCCAGCAGCCAGCAGTGATCATGTGGTCACATGATCGATCATGGTTCTCCGGAGATCAAGTGTTCCCCGCCCTGTTTCACGTTTGGAAGATTAGCCCGAGAGACAACACGCCATGCTCGAGATCCTCGTATAAACCTTGTTTGAGCCCCTTGCTCTGATGGTCTCATGAGACGCAGCGTGCTTTTCATTTACGTCGGAGGTGCCGACGAGTCGACTTCATGCGACGTCTATGGATTGCAAGTTTGGGCGAACGGCGGGTGATGGGGCCAGCTGCTGGATGCGTTGAAAAAACACCGAAATGACAACGATTTCCCCCCCCTCTTTGTCAAAGGTGGTGCTGGAGGTCCCTTCCGATATCTGCCTGTGGTCCACCAGAGATGGCGTAGTCAGTGTGAGTGCAACCAGCAAGCGCGAACGGGTTGCTGTCGTACAGTAGTTCAACCTCCTTCATGAGTACAAGCCTCGTATATCCACGGAGTGTTGTATGCATACGGTGGTGTTTTTCTGCAGTTTTTATCCTACTGCTGTTTGCGGGTGCAACTTTCCATGTGTCACGTGTAAAGGCTACACAGTAGAGTACCCTGTGGAATGTCCCATTCCCGAACCAAGAAAAGGGCGTCCAGAGTGGCAGCTCTCAGCAACGAAGGAGACTCTTGATTGTTTCTTGTGGAATACGGCAAAGGCGAGTCACCTGCGCCTGATGATTGATTGACAGGGCCTCTATGGTCAGACCGACCTCTGCTGGGAAGCCGCGGGGGACCTAAGGGACCCGGTCTCTGACGAAGACTTTGCCCGTGGCATGACCTGGGACGTACGGCTGGCGCTAGCCCTGCTTGAGGCGACGTCCGACCCGCAGGTCGGCGGAAAATTCTGGCATGTCTACGGCCGCTTGCTGCCTCAGCCACACACGGTGACGGTGAGAGCAGAATGATTGGTACATGATAGTTGTGACTCGCGTGTTTTTTTTTACCCTCCGGCCGGAATCGGCGAAAGCAACGGCTCGAGCTTAATTTCTTCTGCGATTCGTAGCGTACGCAGCTGCGGTGCTGCTTGCTGCCGGTAGCTGAGGCACCCGAATCGCGTACAATCACACGAAAACCTCTTGACGGGACAAAAAGCTGTTGGGCGAATTTCAGACTTGCGTGACTAAAGGTGGCACGCGCTACCCGATTGATATTCTTGAGGTCGTTGGTTTTCTCGTTGGTGTCGCATGTACGGTCTTTTTGAACACGCGAGGAGCACGCAAGAACGTTAGGTGCAGAAATCGGCTTGTCTAGAGCTGTGACGTCCAGGTAGGCCTGCCCACGGTGCCGGCAGAGGAGACGATTTTTTTTCGGCGTCAAAAGCCTCGGAACTCACCTGTTGTCGCGATCTTTCCTCTTGAGGGTGCGCTTCAAAGTATCTACAAGTGCTTTTTTTCGAGGATTGACATGCTGCACACTTCACACACCGATGATGATGCGCGTCCGCGATTTACGATGGCAAACCCGCGCCTTGACCATTTGCCTATCGATCGTGTCCCAGCTTGTAGTGGATCTATTTTTGAACCGCACACCGTCCCCCTTATCTCCTACTCTCCCCCCCCTTCTTGGCGTTTTCCTGACATTCCCCTTGAGGTACCCTTCTGCCTACCGGAGCGCCTCTTGGGCCAGCTACACAACAGCGGGATGGCCGAGCGGGCTCGGAAGCAAGTCGAGCGGGTGCGCTCCTTGTACCCGGACCTGATGCGGACGCTGCTCTCTCACCCCAAGACGGCCGTGTACGCGACTAGGAAGACCGCCGAAGGTGAGGCGGCGGCAGCAGCAGGAGAAACAGCAACAGCAGCGGCCACAAAAGAAGCGGCAGAAAAGGAGACGGATGCGGTGCCGATGGCTCTGCTTTGGGCGTTCGCAATGGTGCGGAGCAGGGCGTTCGCGGCTGACGGCGATCGTTTCGCGTTCGTGCCCTTTCTGGTGCGTCTGAAACGGGGGCTAGGCGTATGCGAGAGGGGGAGTAGCGAATGGTCGAAGACGCTGTTCCAGCCCGCTTTATCGCCGTCTTGCTTCCTTTCGATCTGTATGACGTTGTTGGTTTGGCTCTCGTAGAGTGGCTGACTACGGATGGACATGACAGAATGCGGACCCCCTATTGAAACATTTTGCAAGAAGCGCGAGAAGATGGTGCGATGCCCCCTACTGTGGAAATCGCCTTGGTTGCGACTGATCGGTCGACCCAAGAATTGTGGTGGGCGGAGACTGATTTTCGACTGATCAACAGTACGCACACCTTGTCTAGCGTTCCAACCCTTTGTAATTTGACCGACAACAGGACATGGCCAACCACGGCTTCGCTGATCCGGCCGCGAACTTCACGTACATCAGTGGAGGAGAATCACAACCGGGCGTGTTCCAGCTCCAAGCGATGCGCAATATCAGCGCCGGGGAAGAGGTGAGAGAGAAATGCACCCGAGAAAACGACTCGCGCAACAGCAGTCTATTTCTCGAGAACCTATGGTCAAATGCAAGTTGGGGGCAAGCTTCTTCTTCACACCCCCTGTCGTGGCTCCATATGTTTTTCGAGTACGGGGATAACGCAGAGACCACACGACGTTTTTGGCATTCTTCTCGTCAATTCTTGACCAGATGGTCTCTCTCAGTTTGACGCGCACGCATGGAAGCAGAGGAACAAGTGAGCCGAACAGCCAGCAACACCAATAGAGGTTCCTTATCAAATTACGGCAATGGTGCTCTTGCTCACCCGCACCCCTCCCCCCTTCGCGTTTGTTGGACGAAGCAGGTTACCATTTCGTACGGAGAACAGCTGAATGCCGAGCAGCTGATGGTGCAGTACGGCTTCCCCGCGCCCCCGAACGTGCCGCTCGAGCTTCCGCTATGTGGCTCGGACGCTCTCGTCCGAGACACCGTAGCGGTAGCCACGGAGGAGGTAAAAGAGACGGCGGGAGCGGCGACCGCGACTGCGGCTGCGGGTGAAGGCGTTGTAGGAGGCGGGGATGCGGGGGGTCTCCCTGCAGCGGCGGCCCAAGAAGAGGAGGAAGAACGAGGGTCGCGGGGTGCGTTGTCTGAGGCGGAAAGGGTAGGGCTGATGAACGAGCTGTTCCTGCGCGCGCAGCAGCGGTTCGCGAGGGAGGCCGGTGGTGACGAGCGACGGTTTGAGATAGGGGTGAGTTTGTTTGTTGTCGGCCCGGTGTATGTCGTGCTTGTGGTGTGTAGCGGCCGTGTGTTTTTCTTCGGCTGGTGTCGTCGACAGCTCTAACCGGCAACCATACTATTATAATATACCAATGGAAGTGTGAGCTTTTTGTTCCTGTCAACAAACAAGAATAAGAAACAGCTGTGCGTTGTACTTTTGGTGTCTCACCGGTTCATGTTTTACGGCGGGGACAGCGTGATTTTGAGGTACCTCCTTCCGCAAGTGCACCTCTCTGATCGGCGCTGATTGTGACTTGTTTCGTTGTTGGGCCTCTCGCCGCTGTGCCTCTCGCGCCACCGGCCCCTCGTCGTTCGCTCTTGTGCGCTCGTCGTGGTTCGAAGGTCCGAAAGGTGCTCCCGCTCGTTCCGCCGATCGCGACCAAGATCGGAGAGCTCATGGGAGACGGGGAGGACGGGATGATCAAAGGCGCCGAACTCTACCTCGAGGAGTTGCAGGCGTACCGGTCCGAAAACTTTCCGTCTACGGAAGAGCAGGACAGAGAACTGCTCAGGTATTGTGCAAGCTCCAAGTTCGAGGGCCGGTCTTTCGGGAGAGAGAGGGTGGGAGGCAGCGAAAGGGTTGATTGGTTTGTTTTAGGCAGATTAGATATCGAGGCTCTCTCGGCAGTCAACCCAAGCACCCATCTTATCGCACATGCTTCGCTGCAACATCCGGGAAACCTCGCTTAACGAAGTGGTGCTCGAGTGTTCCTTTCTCGGTTCCCAACGTGCCGCCCTCCGTCCCTCCCTCGCGGGCGTTTCTGATACCGTGTGGAACAACGCATCGAATCGTACGACTTCTCAAACGAGCAGCTATTGCTTGGGCAACGGCAGAGGGAAAGTGGACCCGCGGTTGGCGGACGTGGTGCGGTACCGCCTCGGCAGAAAAGAGGCGCACTCGACGGCCGCGGGAATCCTCGAGGAGTTCACGGCGCCGGCACCACCGGCACCACCGGCACCACCGGCACCGCCAGCTGGTGATGCAACAGCCCCTCCGCAGGAGGCTCAGGAGGAGGAGTAGAGGCGGGGGTGTAGAGATAGAGGATACTGCGGACACGGTGTCTCTAGGGTACTGCCAACGCCAGAGGGAGTTGGGGCAATGGAGAATCCATGCGGTGCCTAGAGGCCGGTGGTGACCACGTCACGGGGGGGGGGGCACCGGCGATCAGAGGGCGCAGTGGGAGAACTCCGCCAACAGGCGGGTGGTTGATCGAGAATGACCCGAGGCTGTCATTCCGCCATCGCGGGCGTCTGAGAACGATAAGATGTCCTCCCAAGATGCATTAGAGCTAGGGAGTCTGTCGTTTGGGGGGGCTATTGTGCCACCAATGGGCCCAGAATCGCGTCTATCAATGGAAGAAAGGTAGAAGGGACTACTAGTTATCGGTGAGGGGTACACTGTTGTGTGGCAGCAATACCGCCGCTGATCTGCGGGTGACTGCGTCCCGTGAGTGTCAATTGTCGGATTGGTTGTTGGGTTGCCTTTGGTGTGAGGAGTAGAAGGCTCGGCAGCAATTGGAGGACTTGTGGTGGGACATGAAGCGTGTGTGCCGAGCTGGGGTGACCCGGGGCGTTCTATCGACCAGGCGGGGTCGACTGCAGCAGAGAGTTGAGAAGGCTGGGGAATGAAACGTCGACGACTCTCAACAGTTTTATTTTGTCGTTTCTTTTGGCGGCCGCGGGCACAGCTGAGGTGTGGTGGCATTGCTCAAGTGCATTTTTAACTCTATCGCCGCGCGTATTGTCGAGAGCGAAACCCTGGCGAGACGGCAGAATTCACCAAGGTCAGCCGCCGGCTGTCTTTCGAAATCCCACCTTGTTTGCACTACAGTAGGGGGCCCGCTATAGTGCCGGTTGAATAGTGCCGGTGCCCGGTATAGTGCCGGTAAAATTTCGGGACACGGACAGCGCCCTCAATAGTGCCGGTTGGGCGCCGCTGTGCCCCCCAATAGTGCCGGTTCACTACTGCTGTAGTGCTGTAGACACACACACACACACACCACAACACACGCCAGAGGACAGACGCCACACTGAAAATAGTGTACACCTGCTGCTGCAGACCCTAAGAGCTCTACGCAGAGGCGCACGCACCATGCCTTGTGCGGAAGATGGCGATGATTGCAGCGCATTCCGCTAAGCGGGTGCGCCAGGCAGACATGAGAGAGTTTGTTGCTGCCACGGAGTAAGGTCGAGGGGTACAGCTGTTGTAGCAATGGTTGTTTGCTTTTGCTTCCAGTGCGCTTCCTGTCGTGCTTTTCTTTTTGTCTTGTTTCTTCTAGTAACATCCAAGGGGGTGCGCCAGGCAGACATTAGGGAGTTGCTGCTACGTTGCGAGGGCGGCGGGTATAACTGTGGTAGGTAGTAATGGTTGTTTTTTTCTCGCGGTGCGCTTCCTGTCGTGCTTGTGTTCTTCGGGTTGTTTTGATTATTTCTTGCAACATCCAAGGGGTGCGCCAGCAGGCAAACATGATAGAGTTGCTGGTACGTAGTGAGGGCGGGGAGAATAGCTGTGGTAGCATGTAATGGCCGTTTATTTTCCGTGCGGTGCGCTTCCTGTCGTGGTTCTCTGCTGTCTTTTTTTTATCTGGTAACATCGAAGGAGAGCAACGAGGACTTACACGTCCACTCATAGTACACACATATTCGATCCACGATCCACATCGTACTGTGTTGGCCCCGCAAAGCTTGAGCGCTACACCATGAAACCACCACCTCCTCAATAGTGCCGGACCGGCACTACTGAGGGATATTCGAAGCCTCAATAGTGCCGGTCCGGCACTATTGAGGCACTATTCTGAATACTGCCGGTGCCCGCTATAGTGCCGCTTTTCCCTCTGGACACTACCCGGCACTATAGCGGGCCCACTACTGTACTAGATGGTTATCCTGGCGTCATTTGGCGGTTTTCGACGGCGGCACCTTATGAACCAACTTTCGTTGCCTTTTGGGGGTTTAATCGCTCGAGGGAGGATGAACCGGTCCGGGATTTTGTTGTCTTCGTCATGTATATCCTCTTCGTTAGCTAACACCTTGACAATGGGGCATTCATTATCTGTGTTAACACCGGCGACAGGGTCCACCATCATCGCCCACCGTATTGAGTGTACATACATAGTCATTGCGTCGAGAGCGTGCACACAAATCCCCAAATCGGGAGAAATATGGCAGGGGTCCGGGTTTCCCCGCTGTGAAGGCGCCGGACCGAGTATTCCGGGACGTGTTTGTTCCTGTCGGTGTGAAACAGGTTTGCTTACGCCATTTGTGAGTGTAGTCCACAGAAGGTCTGCGTTTTTGTCGTGGCAGAGTCCTGCGGGGCCTGAATGATGGTATCTATGCGCCGGCTAGAGAATACGGCCATGATGAACGTCACGTCGCGCGGCGCGCAGGCTATGCTTTGAAGCGTTGAGTAGGTGGCAATGTAGTCATCACGTATACATCACTTGGTTTTCGTCTACGAACTGTCCACTCGACCTTCCTGTGCCGGTGTCACTTTCTTCCGTAATCCTCCCCCCTCTCTGGGTCTCTTGTCACACTCACACTCTCACACACATACACACACAATGCCGCCCCGTGGGGTCCCAGTTAACGGCATTTAAAAGCGTTTTTTTTTTCAACCGCACGAAGACTGACGTTTTTTCATTGGTCAGCCGGTTAGCGCGGTCGATGGTAATAATGAACACACACAGCGCTGGCGACGGTAAGTAAATCAAGGCAATATTCTAGCACAAGAAGTCCCTTTCTCGCCCCCCCTCCGTCCACCCAACCTGTTCCCCTCGCCAACTACGCCAATCTATTATACCGCGCCCATGCAACCGGCGACACTAGCGCTGGTCTCTCCCCATCATCCACTGGACGACTTTCGGCCACGACGGTGGTCGAACACAAGGGGCTGGGGGTCAACTCTCCTACTGTCTGTTGCTTGTTGCATGGTCCGCTTCCATCTTTTTCACGAGTTTCTGCTCGTGTTGTTGTGTGCACATGGTACGCAAACATGCGTTCGGTGCGTCACCATTCCGCCACATGCGCACAGGGACAGATCCGACGGGGGCACAACCAAGGAAAAGGAGAAGGGGACGGGTAAAAACAAGAGAGAGGAGGGGAGAGACGGGAGAGGGTATCAGACGTCTGCTTTAGGAGACGGACGGCACGAATCCCGGCAGTAGGTTATAACAACAACTGGGCAGGAAATAGAAAACACAAACCAGAACCCAAACACGAACTTCGTACAATTGTATCTTCCAACAACACAAGCAAGAGAGACCGAGACCAGTGGCCGTGATGTGGGCGAAACAATACATCTTCCTGTGTTGGAAAAGTTGTTAGATGCCATAGTGCCCAAAACTTCCACCGGAGACTGCCACACACATGCCGTCTGCGTGAAACAAGACAATATCGTATGGATTTCATTTATGCATCCTCTTCGTCGTGGAGAAAACAAAGCAAGGAAGAGAACGCGCACCGTACATCATAAACAACAACATGACATGCAGGTCTTCGCCACTGCCAATGTATGGTACCGTATGGAACGTGAACCTGGTGTAAAATGATTCACACCTGAACCTGCTCTACGACAGTGTTGTGTGGCAGCCCTATCTGCTGCGAGAAGTTCGCGAGCCGTTTGCCGTCTTCTTTAACCCCTAGAAGCAGCGACCGGACCGAGCCCACCCGCCGCAGCACTCTCGTGCGCGCCGGGACCTCGACCGTGGACGCCTTCCCTTCGCCAGCAGCAGGAACCGCACAGCCCGCCGAAAAGGTGGGGTTGGATGTTGTCTGCAGTCCAGGTATCTCTCTTCGGTCTCGACCGCCGCTACCGCGTTCTACGTCATCAAACGCAGGTTGTTGTTCGTCACAGCAGTGCTGGTCATATTTGTGCGTTGTTATCGTGATTGGCGGTGGTGGTAGTGAAGGTGCCCCGCCCTCCGCAGAAGAAGCCGGCACCGATGATGCCGAAATGCTTGATCTCCCAGCAGCAGCTGTGCCCGTTGCTGTTGTCGACGTTGTTGTCGTATTCGCCCTCGTCATCGAAATTTTGCCGAGACCTCCCCTCGGGCTGGAAAATGGCGAACCGCCGTTTCTCGCACGGCTTTCGGCGTCTTTGATGAGGGACGACACGTGCTCCGCGATTGTCGCAAGAGTGCTCTCCAGCTCCTCCACCCTCGTTTCTTGCGTTTTCCTCTCGGAAAGCTCATTCACCCAACAACTCCTGCTTCGGCGGGAACATATGTTTTTTTCCAAACGGCCCGGACGGCACACATGGCGAAAAACAGGCGCGTGTGACAAAAGAACTCGTTTCCGCCTGATGGTTGTTGATTTCTTGTAAAAGGTGATTCACCATAAAAGATGCCGCACACATTCTTCTCTCTTACCGGTACAAGTCTGCGCATACCTTGTTGTACCGGGCTCCCAAGCCGCGGATGCCCGCCGAATAAACGCAGTCTCCATCAGCGCAGAGCAGGTCGGTCTCCGCTCCGGGTTCTTCTCCAGACACAGGCGCAGGAACTCTCTAAACTCCGACGACCACGGCCCGTCCGCCGGAAGGGTCGGGGCGTCAGCGTCCCTTCAAAACCCAGCCAATCATTCAGCGTCGGTGTCGGCCGGTGGAGATGAACAACGCGTGCGCGGAAGGCGTGGTGCCGACGAGGTAATTGCAAGAGTTTTCACGCCAGTTTCTCTAACTTGTGTGACGCAAAACTGCGGGGAGAGGTCATAACATCTGACTGTTTTTGCCTTGGCAGCACTACTATCCTGTTAGAAGTGTGCCGATCGATTCGGCAAGCAAGAGCAACCTCCGTCAGTAATGGTATGGGTTTATATTCCCTCCTCTTCGCCCGGGACCGGTGGGGTTCTGGACGGTATCAAATGACATTGCGAATACTGCTTCGTGTTTGTTTCAAACTCTTGGCGAGCTTAGTCAACCGTGGGGATCGTACCAAATGACCTCACGTACTTGTACAGTTCACACTCCGTGAGCGAGCTCCGAATGACCTCTACACCAGCGGACGCCGACCCCACCTGATGCAGTGCAACACGCCCCAGTATCCCTTGTTGGTCTCGAACGGGAGTCGCCCTAGCGCCGTAGTGAGCATCATCAAACCTAGGCTCCATACGTCAGCAGAATACGAGTACTCGTCGCCGTTGATTCGCTCAGGCGACATATACGTTATCGTGCCCACAAAGGTACGCGCTCTGTGGAGGAGCTGTCTTGGGTTCCTCCCGCCTGCCACGGCCGAAGATGATGTTCCGCTGGAACCCTTGGCTACTTCCTGTGACTCTTTCTCTCGTTTGCTACCCCCCGCAGTACGGTCGTTTCCAGATTTGTCTGAAAGCGATACTACGTCGGGGAGCTGTTTCTGATGGCCCTGTGAGAGCGATTTGGGAACACTGCCCCCCACGGAGGAAAGCCGCCTGGTATCGAACCGTTCAGTTCCGTCTCCGCCGTCGTCACCACTGCCATCGCCGTCACCGTCGTCCGCCACCGGAGTCACCGGCGCCGTGGTGGTTTCACTCTGACCATTCTCGTTCTCCTCGCCCCGGCCACCGTCACCGCCACCGCTGCCGCTGCCACTGCGACTGCCGACCGCCCCCACTCCCTCTTCGCCGATCGATGATGTACGAGACACAGCGGACGCACCTCTACAACTTCTTACTCCTCCTTCTTCTTCTTCTTCTTCTTCTTTTTCTTCTACGCCCAGGGTACGTGCGAGCCCGAAATCGGCGATCTTCAGCTCTCCTCGGCGGTTCAAAAGAACATTCGCCGGCTTTATGTCCCGGTGGATGAGGTTGGAAGAGTGCAGGAAGGCGAGCCCTCTCAACGCCTGCAGCGCGATTTGGCCGAGCTTTCTTTCGTCGTGACAACCCCCGGCATCGACCAGATCCTTTGCGAAAAGGGGCAACGAGGCACGTGGCGTGGAGAGGAAAAGGGGGAGGGGGTCTTTCGGACGAAGCTATGGATTGCATATGCATGGGGCGGGGCTCGGTAAGACGTATGTCCCATCTTTCTTTCCCAAAAGAAAACTACCACATGACATTGTTTCACAACTACAGTATTAGTAGTGACTTTCTGCCGCATGTTATATTTACTGCACCTGCAAGCTGCCGCCGTCCATGTACTCCACGACGAGCGACACGGTCGAGTTCGACGTCGTGGCGAACACGTCAATGAGCTCTAGGATGTGTTCGGAGCCGGGGGGAGGGACGACGAGACTTGACGCCGTCTTGCTTCCTTCTTTGGTCGGCCAAGAGCAGTGACGCGCCGCCGCGCGCGTGGTTGCAACCGCCGACGAAAATCCCGCTTCCCTGAACCCGTACTCAGTGGCCCTTCGCCGTCGCTGCCCCCGCATCCCGAGGCGGTCGTACAAAGACGAGACCTCGTGCACGAGCTGCCGCCTCTTCTTCTGATCGTTCACAGGGATCATCTTCACAGCTACGAGGCTCAGGTCCAACAGGTCGAACGCGCGGTAGACCACGCCGGTCTCCCCTTCGCCCACTCGTCCCAGAAGCACCACGCGCTCAATCATCGGAGTTAATACCATCGTACCGATAGCAACTTCGGCGGCGGCGGCGGCGACTGTACTACCTCCTACCGTTGCCGCTCTTCCACCCGCATCGTTTAAAACGTCAGCCAATAGATTAGCGTCTCTTCCGTCACTGATCGTTGCTGCTGCTGCGGAGGAAACTACTGCATCCCCTTGGGTCCCTTCTGCCTGCCAGGCCGCAGCCATCAGACCGGACTGTGGTATGGGAGACTGGAAACCGCTCAACAATATCTCCCCTTTCGGGGTGTAACGATAGCTTGCCGCGGTTCCCAGCGCTGTGTTCAAAGAGAGACTCTTCGAATGCCGGGGAGAGGACGTCGATGGTTCGAGTCCCGTGCTGCAGCTTTCGTCATCTGAAACCTGAGGCATAATGCGGTAAGGTGACACACAGTCCGCCCGTGCTTCCTTAACTCCATCCGAAGCACAGGGTGCGGTCCCTTGCTACTTGAAGGACAACTGGTTGTCTTTGGTTGTTAGAAGTTACGTGCTTGGGGCATCAATACAGACTACGGTTTGATGTGAGGAGGGACTTGCGTACGTTCCACGCAACCAATCGGTCCCGTCTGATATTTGAACGGCAGTTTTGATATTGGTGGCGACAGGAGCAGTGAGAAGGAGCGCACAAGAGAAATATGAGTACAAAAAAAGAAACGGCCATCGGCGAACGCTTGATTTCGCAAGAGTGTTCGGCTTCCGCCTTAAATCTATCCTCATCTAGGACGGACTGGTCAACTCGATAGCACCGCCAACACGGACGAGCGACTTTTCCCTGAAGTCCTCGATAGTAGAAGGATCAAGAGTCTGTCTAGTCCCCCCCAAACCCCCACGTATACACGCACCTCTAGCCACTCGTCGTCGTGCACCCAGTCGGAGCACGACGACATTCGGCCAATGTTTTGACGCATCGAACGTTTCCGGCATTGGGACGTTTCGACCCCCGTTGCGCATCCTCCGTGTTGTCGACCGGCGGCTTTTTCGCAGGTTCCGGGCGTGGTCAGCGATATCGCAGGCATGTCGACGTATGTGTTGTACTTCTGCCGTACGGCAGGTGGATGGTGCCGCGGCTCGTGTTCGGCACCAGTCGCAGCAGCGGCAGCATGTGTTCCATCTTCGCCATGGCGAGGGAGCGTCCGCAACGGTGGTCTCGGAATGGACAACGGCGACGCGTTTATCGCAGCCTGGAGAGAGGCGCCGAAGCTATCCCGACGTGGTTTGCGGCGGGCAGCGGCGATTGGTCTTCCCTTCGCCGGTGCAACCGTGGGAAGGCCGCCGCCGGCTTCACTGTCGGTGGACGACGACAGCCGTCTTACTTTGACAGCATCAGCAGCGAGAGCGGCAGTAGAAACAGTGTTCACTCTTGAGGTATTCCCCTTGGATTCTTCAAGTTGTCTCTTCACATCGTCACCACCACTCCGTGTGGAACTCCCACCTATGAAGGGATCAATCCTTTTGCTGTCGAACTTGGGCTGCGACCTCCCTGTGCTCCCTCGTGTTGTTGCTGTTGCTGATGGACGCGATTCGGCATCATCACTACGAGCAATACAATTGCGCAGCAGGCCGCCCACAGCCACTGCGGGCCGCGCGCCTTCCATCGAGGTGCATGAGGCTGACGATGTTGGCCTACTGTTGAGCCACCTTGTGGCCTCTTCCTCCGTCATCGGTGTGTTGTCGTCACTTGTCAATTTCCTCTTGATCTCTTGACCCGTTGTTGCCATTACTTTGGCGGCGGAGGTGGTGCACCGTGGCATCAATTGTGGCAGAGCTGCTGCTGCAGGAGGATCTTCGCCGACATCACTTCCTTGTTCGCCATCTGGCGGCAGAGCTGAAGATCCAGAAGGCCTCAAGTCAGCAGCACTCGCGGGAACGGCTGTGATGGTGGTCCAAGGCCGCACTTGCGTGCTAAAGGGAGAATTTGGGGGTGCAATCACTGTCCCATCGAACAACTCCTTCTGTTGGCCTCTCATGTCCTTTCCCTTGTGCGTCCGGCTGGTTGGGGGATGCGCCAAATGCCTGGGCACGTAGAATAAATCGATTGAACCGCGGAATGCCGCACACGAAGTGTTGACTCAGTACAGACAAAACAAACACAGGGAGGGCAAAACTTCGGACAACATCGTGGAGTCGATAAACGCCCGGCGACACCGTTTTCGTTTTAACTACTACACGTGTTTGGTTGGTGGACATTGCCAATGAGCAAGAATTGCAGACAGCGTAGATCGTAGTGCCGTGGATCTCCTCTCTGCTCACAAGTTCCGCCATCGAACTCCACGTAGCACCTTTAAATCATCGTTAAAATTATGTATCATAACCACCAACTCTACAAGATAACCAAATTACTGATCCTACGGTATGTTTTTCTGCTGCGATGCCGTTGCCCTACCCAGAGGTGAACTCGCTGGCGGCATGGTCTGCTGATATCCTTGGCTCCGCGTGTTGTTCGCAAAAAACTCTCTGCGAGCTGGCGCGCTCCCGTCTCTGCACCGATGATACCACAGCAGCGGCAGTAGTGGCACCAGTGGTGGCACCAGAAGCTCTTTTCCTTTCCGCACGAACGGAGGTTATGTCTTTCTCCGTGTGGAACGACCCTCCGGCGTGACCGACGACACCTTCCAGCACGTTCTGGCGGCGGTGACCGCTGACGGAAGAGTCTCCGTGAAGGGTGCTCGCTCCGCCCCCCATTCGTCGGTATACGCTGGTTCGCAACGGTGGACACCCGCAAAAGCAGTCAATGACACTGTCGGTTCTCAAGACGATGTACGCCGACTAGCTTTTGCATGCCAACACATGATGGGCAGGTGTCATTGGTTGCATGCAGCAGCGCACAGAAATATGCTCCGTCGCCATCGTGTATGTACGTACAGTCTATGATGCTGGAGATTTATGATGGTTTTTGAAGGAAGTGTCTACGGCTCTCCCAGTGGAGATGCGGAACATCTCCCATGTGTCATTTGCTGGTGTACATGGTGTGCGTGCTGGTACCAGGTAGTAGGTGTCGGATGAACCTTTTGTCGGGATAACAAGCCATGACGGTTACATGCGGCGAACTCTGTCCATGCGGCGGAACTCTGGTTTCGCCGTTCGCCGCACAGGTTTCGCCGCCAACTACGGATACACATTGCGCGGATTGTGTTGTGTATCCAGAGTAATCAACGCGAGGTTCTAACGACTCGTGTACACTCTGGAGGGTAGTATGTTTTCCCAAGCTTTAATCACAGCACGTGCAGCTCTCTCGAACCACATACATTTCTGGAGAAATACACACTGAAGAAATAAATATCAATGATATCTACCAAAGAACTCCAACGTTGGGGATCCTTCGAAAATGAATGCCCAACAAGCTTACACAGCAGTATTATTCGATCTCCGACCACATATTTTGCGAACGTTTTCAAAAATGATCAGCAAGCACACCTGAGTTTCGAAAATTCGATGAACGATTGGCGTACCCGACCAGTATAGGTTGGAAACATACATAGTCTACATTGTACCCAGCCTACGTCAAGAAAAAAAAATGTCATTGTTCGTTGTGATCGCGCATGACTCCATGCACGGTTGGTTGCAAGATGTCTCGCTATTTTAAACCGGTGATTGATGGCGTCTTCGAGTTACTACACATCACACCCGCAGATGTTCGGCTGCAAATTGTAGGTACTTCTGAATGAGTACCGTTTCTTCCCTCTCTCTGCTCACAAGTCAGCGCTATCCTGCCGGGGAAATCCGACTATCGCTACTGCACGCAGGGGTCTGGAATGACGAAGTCCCCAAATGGTACTCGACCAATCGACTACACCCCCGCATCCACTAACAATACTACACACCAACAGGAGGAAATAACGACTTCGTACCAGTTCCCGTTCCCCCCACCTTCCAAGGAAACAATATGGGTGGGCGGGAAAAGACACTACTTTGTGGCCATCTATGTTAGCGAGCGCTTCTACCCTTTAGCGCGCTCACGTACTCCGTAGTCATCCCTCGTGCTCTCAGGCGTGACGGCCTACGGATTCCAAAGCGTACGATAATGTCCGGGGGGGGTGTACGCGAGGTATGTTCTTCGTGACCCCGGTTATCCAATTCTTCCTGAATACCACAAACATCACGTTTTTCCATCTACGAAGAAAACAGCCTTACCTTTAAATATGGAGGTTTCCGGAAATCTCTAACATTGGACTGCACAACCAACCAGTCCACTTACAAAATCAACTCGTACGCGAACGAAGGGTGAGTTCTGTGTCGCGTTCGGCCGCAGTGATCTGTCACACGAGGCTATTGATCTCCAGTTGTCTTTGCCGCCTTCCGGCCAAACCCTGTTCCATCTCAACAAACGAGCCGTTTCTAGCCTCCTACTGATTGCCACAGGTGCGCTTTTAGAATCACCACCAGCGGCTTGTCTCTGCGGTCTAGCGTGACTATTTGGGTTGCTCTTGGACCTTGTCATGGACCTTGAAGAAGCCCGGGAGGAACGTTCTTCGTGCTCTCCCTTCTCTGACGCCTCTCAGCTATCCATCTGCCAGAAAGGGGCCCCGTGAGATATTACAAGGGAGGGAATGCAATGCGGGGCGTGGAAGCGGGGCAAGTCACTCCGGGGTGAAGTCCGTCACATTGTCCAACACTGGGCTTCATGCCTCCATCTACAAGACGGTTGCATGCAACTACGTTCGTGTGCCTTGGTAATACGTCTAGGATGTGTCTTTTCATTCGACAGATATTTCGAAGCGCCTGCATCGGACTGCCGTTGACTTCAGGACCGAGCTACAACTGCGTGCAGTTGCAGCCAGGGCGATTCTCAGCTACTAGTTCGGGAAAATGGTTTTCATCGCGAATGGTGCCACCCTTCAAGAAGCGGTTAAGCTAAGCTCAAGAAAAAACGCACGCCCGCCTCCATCTTTCCCGGATCCCACCTCCTCTTCCTCGCTTCCACGACACGGGCACGCCGCCTCTGCAATGACTTCACGAAGCGAACACACTCGAAGATATTCGCCTTTTGAACCACACGAGAGCCGCAGGCGGTAGGAAGAAACGCAGAAATATGGGTATGACATGAACAATTGTCGCGGACACGGGGGAACCCAAATAAAATATTCGGTGGGTACAACGAGCGAACAAAGCCTCGAGGCGTGTACTTCAACTACACCGTCTGGAATATTCTGCAAGAATGGTAAAGAATGGACACGCATACGTTTTTCTTACTGCTGTGTGTCGGTGCAGACAAAACGGAAGAGAGTTGGGTCCAGAGTCACCTAGCCACAACCTCGTTGTCCATCAAGTACCTGCGGCGGTAGTTGACGCCGGGATTGGGTTGCCAGCCGAAGAGCGCGGTTGAGGCCCCGTCGATCTTCTCTTTCAACATCTGTCAGCGACACCACCTTCATTCCCTCAATCCACGCCATACGAAAAGCCACGAAACGACCACGAGCGGTTGGACAAGGTCCGTCGGATGGCGAGCGAGGGATAATATAGCGTGTCGTATTATATCTCATTCCGCTCTCCTCCATTTTTTCGAGGCCTTGATGTTTGCATAACGGTTCAACTCCACAGAGCGCATCGGGTGGCGCCGGATGGCTCCGCCCTTGTCAGGGAGCTTTCCGTGGACTCATGCCTTCGAAGATGTCGCGCAAGCTCGATGTGTAAGGAGGGCACAGCCCGTACTCTCAGTAGGAGATACTTGGCGGAGCGACCAGTCGATCTACGTTTCTGCCAACTCTGCATGTCTCACCTTGGAAATCTTCCCACCGCCGATACTGCGTAGAGCATCGAGAAGTCCAGATCGTAGCAAGCGTTTGGCGACACGTCTTCCGACGAAACCTCGCCAACAAGCCTCGATCCTCAGCGCAGCAGCAGAAGCAGTAGCAGCAGAAGAAGGAGCAGTACCGTCTTTGGACAGCAGTACCCCGTCCTCCCCCGTGGCCTCGTGGCCCGAAGAATAGTCTTCTCGCTCGCTGATGACACCATCTCCATTATTTCGGCCTGCGTGTTCCTTGCTTTCCATAGCGACACCCAAGCTTATCCCTGAAACGCCTCCTTCTGTGGTGACGATGCTCGGGGCCGCTGCCACAGACCCCGAAACGCTTTCCGGTGCACCGTCTGCCGATTCGAACGGTTCTTCCCCACAGTCGCTGTTTGTGGTCCCTGGCTCGAGAACATCGTCCGGGGGTTGTTGTTCCTGTTGCGGGGCCTGAAGGTCATGGGGTCCTCCGCACCCGATTGGTGGCCCCGTCACGGGAGAATGCAATTCCGCCTCATCATCAGGCAGCCATCTCACGCCACCCCGACCGACCTCAAGACCTGTTCCAGAGGTAGAATCGCGACCCCCTCTTGTTGCACTGGTTTCGGAATCGACCTTCTTTCTGCTGTTGTGCCTGGTTGTTGTTCTTGTGCTGTTGCTTGTTCGACCACTCTTTGCGGAGTCTTCTCCTCTCCCTCGGTCACGACGGCACGAGTGTTGAAAGACGTCGGCCGCGCGGCCGTTATCACGATCGTCCGTTGTTGCTCGACAAGGACGAGAATCATGCGATGACGTAGCATTCGTGTCGTCGTTGTCGTCAATGTTATCCTCATCACGGCCATGTGTTGGCAACCTCTTGGCTATGTTAAGTGGTCGGGTCCTGTCCCCAAGGATGGCCGCGTAATGCCGGGCTACGCCGACAGGTTGCCTATGTTTGTGTCTCTGCGTGTCTTGTGTGACCCTGACGGGGCGGGGGGGGATTGGGACATGTAGGCGGAAAGCGAAAGAAACTGTGTTATTTCTTTTCGTTGAACCAACCGAGTAAGATCGGCACAAACACATACCGACGCAGACCAAACATACTGCCTCTCCCACCAGGCTTAGCGCGATGCTTGACTGGGGCGCTCATACCAGAAGTACGACGACAAACGTAAATAGCAACATCAAACCAAAGGCGCTTGATGCCGTGGGTCATAGCATGGCACGGCCATTGAGCATTGTGCTTCTAACAAATTACCGAAAACCAAGCACATTAATCGACATCATCTGGGTAAACCAACCGCCCGCGTTTGATACACCGACGACGTCGGCTGCTAGAGATCCCCGACAAAACATGCTCGCCACGACCGCACCTGCTCTCGGTTTTCCCCCCTCCTCACCTTCGAAGGCTTTCCTGAAGCTTGGCGGTTAACTCGGCGACCTCGTCTCCCAGCGGGTCTCTCTTCAGGTATCCGCCCACCTCCTCTCGCGGGTTCAACCGCAGTGCTGTTTCAAACGCTGGTCGTTCGTCTCCCCCGACGACGACACTACTCGCTAGTCTGCGCAAGGAACCTTGCTCTCGCTTGTGTCGCTTCATTCCGGCCTTGTTCGACATGGTTGGGTCAACGCTGCAGCCGATCCCGTCGACCGGACGGTGTGATGCTGTGCTACGTGGCGCGACAGGAGGAGCCTTGGCTAGGATGCTGTACAGATCAATCTGGGAGTAGCAGCCGTAGGGGGGGGGGAGGGGGGTCAGCCATGGACTAAGCATTTGTTGAAATGCGGTTCATTGGACACGATAGGAACCATGTTATTCGGTAGGGAGGTAGATTTAAGCCGTGACGTCACTATTGCCCTACAGTGCCAGGAATCCCTTCCTTCAGATAGATACATACACAAAGAGCTGCGAGGACCAGTTGCAGAGGAGCCAGAAGTCTTTCACTACCACGAATGGTAGCGAATTAACAGCCAACCCGCCAAGATCTGACGGCGGTCTGATTCCATTGCACAAGATCACTGGGTGAAGCTTTTGGTCTCCACCCTTTGCATTCAATGAAAACATGCTTGCCTCTTACCTTTGCGAGTGGCTTACTCATCTCCATCGTGGTTTGCGTGGTGTCGGCGACAACAGCTTCAGCTTTACGCGCCTGCCCCTCGAGCACACCGTCGTCCAGACAGAGCGACGTCGGGGGCGACTGGAGAGTAACTGCCGTCTGTACTGCCGCTGCAGGATGCTGTCCTGGCATCTCGGAAGCGGAGAAAGAGTCCAAGAACAAGGAGACATCTTCCTCTTCTCCAGAATCGTGGTGCTTCGGACTTGGTCTGTTTGCTTTTGGGCGGAGACACCGGTCGGACTTTATGCCCCTTTCCCGCCGGATGTGGGGTCGGTCTTCACCATTTACACCAACCGGACTGTTGCTGTTCTCGTATGTGCGCTGGTTGTTTTCGACCCCGTTCTTGCTGCCTTTTCGTCTTGGTCTGCGGTTAGCATGGAGGGCGACAAAGTCAATGTTGTCACGCCGTCGGTGTCCATTCCCCCTATTCCTAGCATCCGTCTGAGGGGAAAAGGCCAACGAAGAGGGTACACATAACATCACAAGGGGATGTTCGCTGTACTTTGTTGTCGTCCGTGTATCTCCTAGATTTTACATGCACTCAAGGTTGGTGATTCGTTCGAGTTGCCGTGGACATCTACTCTGTAGCATTCTTCTTGTTTTGTTTGGACATGGACTTTGAGTCACGATATCAACGAAAGACGACAACTTGTCGTCGTCGTCGTCGTCGTCGTCGTCGTTGTGGTTGTGGTTGTGGATGACGTTGTCTTCACGTAACAACCGTTCTGATCCCTAGGTTTAATGTAATTCAGCCCGTTTGAAATGTCAGAAAAGCAACAGTAGAGCTTGGTAGAGCGAATGATATTAACGACAGAACCACATAGATAGGTGGCTCGGGCTCCGTTGGTGCACGGGTTACAGGTACCGAAGTTGTTCTCGCATCTGCGCAAGGTTTGGGGGTTTGGTAACACATTTGTGAAGACGGCCACCGCACACTTTTGAAGTGCTGCATGCATCGCAGGTGCAGGCTGGACTATGTAAGATACATAGACAGACGATTGAAATATGTCTTGAATTGTCTGTTGCGTATGCCGTCCATTACTCACCTGGTCATAAAGAATTGTCTTCAGCTCGTCCTCGGTAGGCACGATTTGCCTATTGCCAGCGTCAGGGTCATGGTTGACTCTCACCACCCGCCCGCCAACCGTTAGAAAATACTTCGTCCGGGGCTTGTGGTCCTGGTGGTTGACGTCAAATGATTTCAACATGATGAACTACTCGCGTGCCGGCAACCGGACAACAGCAGTAGACTGGAAATCGCCGATTTTCGGAGACGATATGTGCTTGGTTTTGCTGTCTCCACACGTGGGTACAGCTGCAGCAGCACGATGCACACAGGGTACTTGCTGGCGCTAGACTTTAGCACGCACGCAATAACATCCTTTTCCCTCACTACAATATGCCAGCAGAAGGAAGGCGGGCAAACCCTATAGAACTAAACATCTACATCGAAGTAGTCCTTTACAGCAGTACGACACGACTGGCTGCTGCCTCTTTTTTCTTCTGTTTTTCCTTCTTTTCGTCGAAAACGACGGTTTCAGGCGAACCGACACCACGCGGTGGAGATTTCGCAGATCCGCCGCCGATTTTTATGATCGCCCGTTCCACTGCTTCACCCTCCCTCATCGATATCACTAAACTTTCATCCGCCATGATGCTGGGAAACATGAGCTCTAGTGTCCTTTCGCAGCTGGATCGGTGAGTAAGGCACGGGTTGGTTTTGACGACAAGCACGGGAAGAATCCTCGGCAGAACACACAACAGCAGTCAGCGGCAGGCCACGCATGCATGTAGAATGCTGCTGCCATACAGCAGTAGTCTATGTGTCCTATCAAGTCTGGCGCCAGTCTACACACCTTTCGGTGTATGTTTATGTTTGTGGTGTACATCAGCCGGGGTCACCCAAGAGCAAGATCACAAACGAGTTTTTCTTTTTACTACTTCCAATGTGTAGACTCTACAGCAGTTGTTGAGAACACGTTTTGTAGTCTACGGCATATCTTTGTAGACTAACGAACTGATGTAGACCCTACCTTTCCTCCGGCGTGTACTGATATACTCTAGACTAGTGTAGATGCAAGTGAGCTTTCTTTTTCTTGGATATATGCTGACAGCTCAAGACCTCCCCTCATCATGATAAAGCCCCCCACACAAGTGTAGTCTAGACTAGTCTGCTGATGCGATTATACATTACCCAGTCACACTGCTGTGTTGATCGATCCCGGTCTCTGTTGCTGGCAAAGTGCCTCTCGCTCCTTGCTCTGTTGCACGTAGAATACGCCCCACGGGCATGGTGAGTTGTGGTTTTCTCATGTATGGAGCACTTTCAATAATTTCGTCATGTGATGCGTTTACGTGCAAAGAACAAGACATCACCTACTGTAACCGACTGTTCCATGCTCCCCCTCTGACAAGCTTGAAGGAAAGTTTCCTCTGGGCTGCGGCGAAAGGTGGGCGTGTAGAGGAGTGCGAGTCTCTTTTGGAGATGGGGACAGGCAAGTGATCACAACAGACAGACAGGGTGTAGACGTGTCTCTGTATGCCATTGCCCATCCAATTTACAGTAGTACAGCGTACGTACGGTGGGCGTAAAGCCCTCATCGACTAGTAGACGACCAGTGCACTTGCATAACAAGAGAGGGTTTGCAGGCAAGACCTGGCAGCACAACGAGCAAGCGATCTTCCTTGCAGACTCATAGCTGATGATGGTGTTGCAAAGGCCTTCATCTTGACCCCGCATAACCCCATGTATCCTTGACCGCATCGGTTTTGTTGAGTGTTCGGGACTGCTATCTGTAGGCTTTGTGAGGAAAATCACAAGGTTCCACGGAGACCGAAGGCACATCAGAAGCCCCGCTTCAAATCTGCGCGCTGCGTGTTTCGACCTGTATCGTGCAGATATAAACTGGGTGAGTCCGGAAGGAGACACTCCGCTCTTAGCAGCCTGTCGCAACGGGCACCTTCAAACCGCCCTGTGTCTGCTCAGTCACGGCGCCTCGGCAAACCAGGTGGACAAGGACGGGCGAACTGCCCTCCACGTCTCTTGCCGATATGGCAAGGAAGCGGTTGCGGAGGCATTGATCCTGAGGGGAGCCGATGTATCCGCCAGGGACCACGGCGGTAAGCAACTCTCGTGGTCACGGCTGGAACACGACCCTTGCGGTATCACATCGTCTGTATCTAACAGCCAACTCCTCGAGAAAGCGATGAGCGTACCGAAAGGGGTATAAATACAAGTGGGGCCGGGTTGCATGTTCTTATCGGTGTTGATGGCATAGGCATCGCAGGAGGAGGGAGAGGCGTGGGCTTGCGCGGGAGGATGAGAGGGCTGAATGGATTGGGCTCGTGGTAGTCGTGACCTACCCGTCGTCGATGCTCGAAAACCAAGCCGCGAACCATTTCAATTGCATTGTACGTACCCTATCGAACCAGGTGCGACGGCATTCGAGAGTCAAGGGCCGCACGTCCCAGATGGTATGCTTCAACGCCTCGACACCATCGCCCAGCGCAGCGGTAGGCGAACCCACCACCACCTCGGCATAAGCACTGCAGCTATCAACACCAGCACATTCACCACCTCTTCTGGCAGGAGTGCTCAAGATGGCGGTGGATCAATGTCAAGCAGGCGCAGCAACACCGTACTTGATAGTGACACGCTCAGTGCTCGCGCCACCGGCGGGGGGGTGCCAGAAAACAATATCGGTGACGGCAGGTCGGGATGGCGCTGGCGGAGTAACACCGGTAGGATCGAGCACCACGTTCCCCTTACGGACGACGCCCATGATGGTGCCGCTGGTGTTGGCCCGGCAGCGATTTCGACGGGCGACGGTGGCAGGTAGGATATCGGCGCTACGATAGTTAACGTTCGCAATTCATGCTACCCTACGGTATTAGCGAGAACGGTGGCTCACAAGATTTTGACGGGGAGGACAGGAAACGACACTAAGATGTACCTGGTATTTGCTTTAGAGGGAGCTGGGTTCACTTTTAGTTTACGGACAGCGCGCAAACGTCCTAGAGTGGGCCTGTCGGTTTTCCTATGGTCCACGGAATACGACCAAATGCCATCCGCGTGTCTCTCCGTGGTATATCGTGAGATCTACGTCTTGATACCGTGACGTTTCGGTTGATCTGTTCCCAATGCCTTCAGAGATGATGCCCAGAGGGAGGAGAGAGGGGGAGTGGAGGGAAGGACGACGTTTCCATCCATTTCACGCAAAGCCGGGTCCACCAGTGCCGACAGCAGGCCATCGTCGAGGGTCCACAGCGCCGGTCGGGCAGCGTCCTCCAGCGGCGACGGAGTCCGTTCCAGTGACGACGAACACGATGTGAGTCGGAAGCCAGTGACAGCACAAGGGACGACCTTGTACATCAGTAGCACTAGAAACAGCGAAGAGTAGAGACTAGCGACGCAATCCTGCATGGTGTGAACGCGAAGCGAAGCACTGCGGCAATAGGAGTTCACGGTATTTGGCTGAGTGGCTGGAGCGGCGGGAGGGGGGGCCGGGCAGGCGGACCACTGTCGGGACGGGAATCCCTTGTCAGACAAGGTTCATATTCAACGATAGTGCCGCGACTCTTGCTTCTAAATGTTTAGAAAGCCGTGTGCATCCTCTATAACGCATGGACAAAGTTGGTGCGTTCCTCCTATTGGTTTTGTTTCGGGAGGGAAGGGAAAAGAAGGGAGGGAACAGGCTACACCGGTTGCCCAACACACGGACCTCTTCTCCCATAATAATAAAGGAGCCAGGCTTTTTACGGTTGTTTGTTTCGCACAGGAACTACTCCACGAAGGCGAAACAAGACTTCGATTTCTCAGCAGCGCCTACCGCGGGCCCGGTATCAGGCAACGCGGAAGCTTACCTATAAGAAATCGCAGCACAGAAAACGGCGACGAGATGTCTGAGAGCATGCAGCTCATATCGGCAGGCGAACCCGTTCCACACGCGGTAAGAACCCGGCAGTACGACATATAATGTGCGAACCAAGAAAGATGCGCAGAACCAGGAAAAGGCTGGTGTCCGCAGTTGCGGGCCATGATGTACCTTGCCCTCGCACACAGAATGCCGTACTATCCCCAGCCCCGTTACTCGCACCCGCGTGACTACCGTAGTAGTCGGAGAGATGGCTCCGGTCGGAGAGATAGCACCAGTCGGAGAGATGGCACCAGGGTGCGCAAAAACATACAAAAACGTCATGATTTAATTCGATTTACGCACCGGGGTCGGTGAGATCGCACCTGGTGCGATCTCACCGAACCAAACATCCAAGAATGAGCTCCTTTTCAGCTGCCGGAATGAGGTACATGTGCGTACCATTTGCACGTGGGGACGGTGTCAGCAGAGCGCCACTCGTGTCCTGTATGTACGTATGCATGGTCGCGGTTCACGCGGGATGCCAGTTGTTTTCGTTTTTTAATTGGTATGGAAGTTGCAAACCGTACACAACCAAACACACAAGGTCCAAGCCGCACCCTACCCCACCATACACAACATGCACCTATTGTACTGCTGCGTACTGCTGCGTACGTACTGGTATCCGTAGAGGAAGACCAAAACGAAAGCGGAACAGCCTGATACCGTATGTACCGGTGCCTCAGATGGAAATCACATCGGTTGTTATCCTTGTCACGTCATAGCCAAACTCGCCTTCAAACACAAAACCACTCTCCGCATGGAAAGCTGCTACGTACCAGCCTACGTTGCCGTTACCGGTGTGCTTCCAACCAGCAACAACGGTACCTACATGTGTGGTTCTATACTGATCAATAGCATTGTCAACTATTTAGCGTGTGCAGAAGACTGTGTGTGTGCGTGGGTATGCCTACACTGGCATCAGTACTATGGTACCGGTCGGGGAGATGGCACCGAGGTGCGTGCATGCAACACCTGTGTGTATTTCATCGGGGATGGCACCGGTCGGAGAGATCGCACCGGGGTACCTTGACAAAACTACACGAAATTATTAAGTTGCATGTCTGCACCGGGGTCGGAAAGATGGCACCGGGGTGCGATAAAAAACCCGAGGAACAAACATTTATAAAAACGATCGCACCCGGTGCGATCTCTCCGACTATTCGGTAAAATCTTGTTGAATGAGTCGACGCCTTCGACCACTTTTCCGCAAAAACGTCACCGCTCTCCTTGCCACCCTCTTCCCACCCGCTCACCCCGACCCCGTCCGTGGCGCACCGGCTGAACAACAAAAACAATCGTTTGAACATTCCACATCGAAACAAAAGTCGGCCGCAATCGCAGCTGCCATCGCATCGGCATCGGCACCGGCGCCAGCTACGACTGTGACTGCCGCTGGCTCGACAATCTACCCAATGATGGCGTCCAACACGCTAGCATCACCAGCCCCGGGGCCAACATCGTTAAGGTCACCTCGACGCCCTCTGCATTTCCACGGGACCCCCACCGCCTCGTGGGACGGGGCCGGCGCCGACGGGGGTGCCGGTCACGGCATCACCGTCAGCAACAGCAGAGACAGCGGCAGCGGCGGTAACCGCTGGAATGGCAGTGGCAGTGCAAGCGGCAGCAGCAGCAGCAGCAGCAGCAGCAGCAGCAGCAATAGTGGCAGAGGAGGTGGCGGAGAAAGGCAGTCGAGACCAGCAGCGTCTGCAACAAATGCGAATTCTCCAGCAACAGCGACGGGTACAACCGCCACCACCACCACCGTCACTCCAACATGCGGATTGTACGGGTCTCTGTCGACAAACGCAGTCGCTGAAAGAATCAACAGCAGGAGTATCACTGCACACTGGCTGTCCCCGCCAGCAGCGGCGGAGGTACGAGGGCCGCTAGGAGACCACGCGATGCATTGGGGCGGAAGAACGAATGGAGATTTGGTGTCCGGAGATGCACCGTACGAGTCTATCGCCCCAGCTGGGGCTGGGGGGAGGGGAGTACTGGGCGGTGGAGGGCACGGCGGCGACCCAGCGCAAGGAGACGGCGGTTCGAGTGATCACGTACGGAAACATTCTTTCTCGTGACTTCTTTGTCCCTATCGTATGCCAAGTTCGATGCTGTTGAACCTGTCGCGTTATTCAAAACTCGTCTGACAAGACCTGCTTTTGGCCTGAAAGTACACGCTGTCGGAATGGGCGGGATGAACGTTTTTTGTTCTGGAATAAACTCATCGCCATACAACTAGCCCCCATCTTTTCCGAGTAGAGATCTCCCAGTTCCTCCAGAAAAGATAAACGCTGGTGTCCGAGCGTTGTGCGTGAGTGATGATGGTTGCTCCTCGTCCATTTTAAACCGACATCTAGGATCTACGGTTGACCCTCTGCCATACAAAACACGTGCATCAACCCTTTCATTGTCAGGTTGGACTGATTAGGGCTTTGTGGCTGCAAGAGAAGGAGAGCAGGCTGGCCTCGGAAGCGAAGGTGGGTAGTGTCATTTTCACCTAATACTGTAGTTTCCACCGAGACACCCCTCGTCATGAAGGTGTACTGGGTGGTAAAACTATGCAACAAAGTACACCTACACTTTCGAATCACCCTCGTCTGTGTCGGTGCCCGAATGTGTATTCGAAGGGCTCGCGTACTACAACGCTCGTTCGAAGCAGGTTTTCGATGGTGGTGTTAACCGCGTGCTAGAACATCTTCACGTAATTGAGAGTACACAGAGTAACCGATGCGGCAGCATGTTCCTAGATTACGACCACGGCCATGTAAAATTTGTCGACTACCCTGCGACTGCCTCACTGTCTGAGGGGCTTACAGTTGGTTCGCCCCTTCCCCGCCCCGGAACCCTTGGAACGTTCGCGGCCGGTCCTATTTGCGGTTGTTTACTTGTGACTCGTTGACCCGTTCAGGCTGATGCAGTAAGGGATCAGAGCGCCCGGCTATGGAATGAACTCGTACGGAGTGAAAAACAGGTGCAGTTTTGAAACGATACCACCGTTGTTGGTTGCGCGAGATAAAAGTGTTAGTATTGCGTGCAGTACCCCACATGCCACCAAGGATGGGACGGCTCCAATAAGTTCTTGTTGAAAACGGTGAGAGTGCACCATCTGAAGGGCTAGCTCGCTCACCTACCACCGAACACATGTTATCTTTTCGCGTCGTGCGCTGTCAATAGACCAGTTTCATCTTGACGAAAGAAATCATGCCGGCTGGTCAAACATCAAATCCAGCGTGCATTACGACGTACGTCTGCAATACACCTTTCCACACACGAGACCGTAACCAGCAAGAAGAGAACACGTATTACGGCTTGTCGATCCCCTTCTTTGCTTGACCTCTCGCGTAATCTTTTGATCGGGTACGATGGTACCGGCATGAAATACTCATTGCCTGGCTATCCAAATGCAGGTGCTGAGTCTCGAAGAGGGGGCGGCTGCTCTTCGTGAGGAAAGGGATAAGCTTAAAGCCACCCTCAACGGCGAGGGGTTCAAGGTAGCTGGTGATACCTAGCTAGTCAAGGCATCCCACTATGCGGTGCCAAGAAGCATGACACTCTCGCCTTGATTAGTCTACTGTGCTTGGGGGAGAACCAGGACCAGTCCTCTACCTGTACATGGTTCGCAACAAAGTGCCCAGCTCATACACTGCATGTCGTGGGAGTTGGTTCCAATAGAAGTACAACCGAATCACCGTTAAACCCATTACCTCTTTTCAACGGTCCCCTCCATCGAGCACCACTGCGCAAAGCAAGCCAGTGTAAACGTGTATCTACTTCCTTGGTCTTGCGAGGGGGTCAAACTTAACCACGCGTGCAAGGCCAATGATAACCAACGACGGTCCTCTACATGCAGGGACGATCCTTGCAAGAACTAGAGCACCTGGAGAAAGATCTCCGGAAGGCATTGGAGGGTGTGTGCGGGGAGAGGGATAGAATCGTCCAGCAGCAACTCGCCAAGGAAGAACAGAGACTCTGCGTCGTTTGCCAGGTGAGTCTGCGTACAGACGAAACCTAGACCGTGTATTGCATAGCACAGAATATGTGCCGTTTCCCGTTTAACTTTACGGAGGGGACGGGGCACCTCAATAGGGTCAGCCACTATGGGACGGGGAGACTTCATTGAAGTCAAACGTCCAAACTGCGACGCCTCCTCACCATCCACTTCCACATTGACACGGACTTTTTTCCGCACACGCACATGATCATAATGTTCGGCGTAGCAAACGCACAACGCGTTGGCTGCGTGGCGAGGACTTTCCATCCACGTGGGCGTAAGTACTTGGCATTGCCGAGTGCATAATCGGATCATTCGAAGGCATTTGTGCCTCGGAGACTCCTCAATCGAGGCGGGACGAGTATCGTCTTGCCCTCAAAACACTACCATTCGACAACAATGCGGGGTCCTGATATAGTTCCAATTTTGGGCTCATTCGAAACGGGCGGTGGGGGGTGGAGAGCCCTTTGATATCATGTGCAAGTCATAGGGTTAGGTAGAATTTTCCGACTGTAAACCAACGATACATCGGACTTGAACCCCGAGGCTGCTTGGTCTGATTTCGTGGGCGTGGGGTGGCGGATCGAAGCCTAGAACACAAATCGAGCGAGACACGCCGGAAGAAGGTGGTTTGTGCATCTGCCACACCACACTCCCAGTGGACCCGTACGTTGACCCAATCGACCATGTAGGAAGGGCAAGCTTCAACCGACCAAGTAGGACAACATGCCAAAGGAAAATATCCTTACTGCCACCCTCCTCCTACACACACACGCATCACCCCCGCCCCGCCGCCAACGGCCAACAGGAGAACGAGCGAAGCGTGCTCCTGCTACCGTGTCGCCATCTTTGCGTTTGCAGGGGCTGCTCCGAGCGGCAAGAGCTAACCTTGTGTCCGCTATGCCGAGACCACATCACCGAGAGCCTCGTCGTGTACTCCTGAACTCGAATAGTGATACAGCAAGAAAAAAGTCTAACGCGAGGCCCCACAACGAGAAGGGGCACCTCTCGGGTTTCCATGCGGCGTACAGGCGTCTTCTAGAAGAGGTTTTGTTTGGGTAGAGAAAGGACAGGCGTCGATGGCTTGTTATTCGGCATCATCACGGTCGATGACAATGGAGGGCTCTGGTAAGTGTTCTCCTGGGGTGATAGTAGCTGGAATTGACCTCGCTGCCAGACTATCTCTCTCTCTGTCTGACGTGGTAGGCTAGACGATACAGTGCCAAACTGGGAGCGGTTGCATAGCTGGGGTCATATCCTTTGATCGGAACCTGTGCCGACCGGAACCTAATGAAGTGATAAGATGTACATTTGCGCGTACACGATTTAGTCAGATTAACTGCACAACAACTCAGGACATGTACCATGCGATGCGCCCGATACGCACATGGATGGGTCCGAAAGAATTTGGCGTCTTTGCTCTCTACATCGGGTGAGCAGGCGACCACAGCCCTTGCTTATCGCTTTCATGACAACGCCGTTTTCATGCACCATCCCCGCATCATGACAACGACACCGCCTTAACCAACCACAACGAAAAACTTGAAGAGGATTACAGCACGCAAGCTGCGTTGCCCATAAAATATATTGGCGAGGGATAATACGCAAACATGGTGTCGGAACAAGTAATGAACTCTGCGAATGTTCAGCGCTGTTCGTGATAGAGCCCAGTTGCTTCGTAAAGTTCAGCGTCTTGGCTTGAAAAAGTGTGTTGGCAGGGCAAGCGCAGACGCGGCAAAACTCGTCCAATTCCACCGAGAGTTTCAACTGTATTGCGGCACGGCTGTGAGCACCCGATTGGTTTTGGACTGGAGTACTACGGTCGCAGGATTCGGCACTCGATGCAAGGCAATCGGCAGGGTCTAAGGTCTGGAACTTGAGCAGTTGAGAGTTGACGGCAGCGGTGGCACCAGGCACGAATGTGTTCAATTATGTCGTTGGGATCTGGATTAATGGGAGTGTTTACTGTGTGGTAAAGGCTCACTCCCGGGTGCGCCTCATGCAAGAAAGTGGCGTGCGTTCTTTTCTGCAGTGCTGCACTGAATCAGAAAACTCGCCTTCAAATAAGTCCAAACTATTGTAGCTAACCATTCTGCTGCTTGTCAGGCATTTCTTCGCAACTCACGTGCGGAAATACTAGGGCCGTGCGAAGCCATCCATCGATGTCGCCGACATCATTCAACACTAAGAAGTGCAACACACCAACAACGCTACTGCCTAGGCCAACAAAACCCTGGGCATCTTATTCGACTTCTGCTCCGAACGCTTCCAGCGCTGCAGCGACGGCATACAACGACCCTGTGCATAGCACCTCCACTATCTCACTGTCAACGCGTCCACCTCTATCACCACAACCAGTTGCCGCCACGCTCGCGTCTCCTCGCCCCCCGCTACCGTGGTGGTCTGCATCAACCGCCGACACTGCTGTTCTGCTTGCGACGCCGGGATCCCCAACAACGCTAGCTGCCTCTGAGCCCCCATCGTGTTGGCTGTTAGCGCAGATCAAAGAAAGCTTTTCAAAGAAAAACGGCGCCGTGCCGGTTAGGGTTGCGCTTAGCGTGCCCCCTCTGCGTGTCTGGAGCGAGGTCCACACCTGCAATGACCCGATTTGAGAGAGGGGAGGGGAGGGGGGGGGTCGTGAATTAAGTCCTAGTCTCGCTTGCGACTGTCTACTACTGCCGTAAATCCACGTGTGACCTTGAGCTCGCAAGAAAAGTACGTAGCACTCCAACCGTCCATTTCGCACCTTTTCACCCACAAGGACAAGCTTGCTTCCCCCCCATCGTCTTCGTCTTCACATTTACGAACCTGCATCTCTCTCCCTTGTAGAGAAAAACCGCCACCTCAAAGGACACTGTGAACTGCGCTACTCAGGGTCGGACCGGTTTAATAGAATACGCCGCACCGTGGCAAAGTGGCAACCCACAACCCTGCACCGAGCGCAGCCGACAAGCTCCACCACTGCACCTACCACCACTGTACTGCTAATAGTTGCACAACAACAAAACACCCCCGAATTCCTGCCGCCCGTTCAAAACGTGCGACACACCTGTTCCAGGGTCCGCTGCCAAGCCCCAGCCCCGCTCCCAGCCCCCGCACCGTCCGCCTTCTCTTCGCCGCACCCCGGCGCCGCGCCCCCCGCCGGCTCCTCTCCGCTCGGGTCATCGGAACAGGGTCCAGAGCTAACACTGGACGCCCCTGCCATCCCGGCGGAGGTTGCAGCGGCAGCTGCAACAGCGGGGGATATGCCGTGAGGAGCTAGGATTTCTTGCGCTGTGGGGAGCTTGAACCGCGACGGCCGCCCTGGGATTACCTCCATGAACCACGCCTCGTCAAACAACGGCGTGTCGCCGTCAGCATCGTCGTCATCGTCTTTGTTGGTGGTGTTGGTGGCGTTGCCGCTTGACCCATCGCATGATTCTCGTCGTCGTGCCGACGCCAGCATGTCCAAGAGAGGCACGACGTCGCGCTCGTGAGAAGCATTAAACCAGAGCACGCGCCGGCATCGTCTATTCTGCCGTCTGCGCTCAAGTTGTGGTGGTGGTGGGGGTGGCGATGACCGTGGGATGTCGAGCGGCGTCACCGCTACCGCCACGGCCGCCCGGCTCGAAGCGACCTCATCGGCCTTCGCTCTTGATGCGGCCGCCGTCGCCGTCTTGCGTGGTCGAGGTCGAACGAAGCAAAGTCACGGCAGAAAATACAGAATCCGTGAGAAGGTGGCGGGGAGACCGCGAGGGCCGGGGCGGGATGGGAAGACCAACTTTGAGCGCGAGCGCGGTGGAACGGTGCTGTGTCTTAGGAAAAAAGTTAACACCCAAATGACTGATTTTCGGAGATCCTCCTCCGCTCATGGCTCGTCATCACTCACACTCCGCGCTGCCCCTCCCCCCCAAAGAAGCGCCCCACCAGCCTCCATCTGCACCTACAAACACATGCTCCGTACCTTTTCGACGAACCACCCCAGGCAGGCGCGCATGCTCTGTTCCGTGTGCGCCCCGTCCAGGTAGATCGTCACCGACGGGAAGGCGGGGGGTCGGAACACCTATGTACATGCGTGACACAGTCGTTCCCCGCAAAGCAAAGCATGCGGAAGATTGAAGCGGGTGGGGAAGGGATCCATAGCACGGGAAAAGTGGGACTACTGATACACAGCAATACGCGTGCTACACGCGGTCATTTCGTAGGCCATGCAACGACAATATTCAGAACGTGAGCCACCAACCCGTCTTCCAAACAGCAGTATCCGGCATTCCGCGCAACCTCTCGATCGTTCGTTGGGGTTGAGTTAACTCTCTGTGGACCTTACGAACACACCAAAAAAAGCGAAACCACCTCACGAACTCGTATTTAAAAACGAAACCGCGTGTAGAGGACAACTCTTCCACGCAAAAACGCCGTCCCAGCGTACGCTCCGCAAAAAACTGTCGGAGGTCAGCTAAGCCGTTTCAAAGTGATGACACCATCCCATTCGCCACCAGACACAAAACAGGCAAAGGATCTCACAAACATGCACACGTCCACAGGCCCATCTGATGCTCCCCTGAAACTACAAGATCAACCAACATGTTTTCTCACACCTGACAGCGTCCCGGCCAAACGCAGCACGAAAGTCCTCGGTGCACGTCTGCCGATGCCCAGAACGTCTCGGTGTCGTGAATTTTCTCCGCAGGCGGAGCCTGATCTCCCGCATGTTGCTGCTGCTGCTGTTGGCGATGAGCCTCGATCCAGACGGCGCACAGGCGCAGGGCTAGAGCGGCGTTGACCCGCTGGTGGTCACCGGCCAGGCCGATCTCGTAGGCGCGGCCGCACGGGTCGCGAGTGGGGAGCGGCTTGACCACCTCAAGCTCGCCGCAGCCGGCTGCTGCCGCGCACTACATATGGCCGTTCGTCCGTGGTTGTTATCAGTGATGATGGGTGGGACGACCACGACCCGACTAACGGCGCTGCGACAGAGTACCCATACGCATATCACGGAAATGTATCGCTTGTAGACGCAAAAGTGGCGACTATTAATAGTTCTGTTTTTTTGGTGCATCAAGCGATACACGCGACTACCGAGTACGAATATCCGGCGAATCGCTACACGAGGCGAAAAAGAATGGAAAACGGTGTATCGGCCCTGCTCGTGACAATGCAAAACGCTACTGGTACTTGAGGGAAATGCAAGAAGAAAAGTGCGTGGCGTGACGTGATCGTCACGCTATTGAAGATCTATTTGTTCTTTTGGAGTACAGGAGAGATGGCAACCTCGTGCGCATGGGGATAAATTCCATTATGCAGTGTACACTTTCCCCCTTAGGCACAAAATCTGCTTAGCTTGATGCTTCTCCATATGTTTGATGCTGGAAAAATAAGACTTGCGAACGAGCTACTGAAGATCGGCAAACACCCGTGCACAGTCGTCCGTACGTGCAAGACGCACACGGTCTCGGTTCAAATTAAAAAACAGCATCTATCTACTTGTTGGCTTGCCTCGCAAAGCACCGACATGCCACCCCTGGGTTGCTCCACCGCCATGGCGCGGCAGCCCTCCTTGAAAATGCCACCCTTTTCCCAGGCGATTTTGTCCAGCGTATCGCCGAGGACCTGTTTTCCGTTTGGGTATATTTAGGCGGAGAGGAGGAAGAGAAACAGCAAGAGGGGGAAGAGGAAACGAGGAAGGCGGCGGGATTCGGGCAGGTGAAGGCACGACTGGAGTAAGACTAGCACCAATGGAACAACATTGCAGTAACCGTAGCAGCAGCAGCAGCAGTGGCAGCAGCGGCAGCAGCGGCAAGAGATATAACGCAAGCACACCAGATACTCTAATGACCTGCACGATGTCGATAAATGGTACCACTTTTGACGACTCCCAAGACGAAATGCACTAACTTCACCAGCATGCACACCCTCAGAGACAAAACACCTACCTGTGTGTGGTCCAGGTCGAGCATAGCCACCCCGCAGGCCACCGGCGAGGGCACGACGTTGGTGGCGTCAAACCTCCCGCCCATGCCCACCTCCAGCACGCAAACGTCCACCCCCTCCTGCACGAAGCACCAGAGCCCCACCAGGGTCAACAGATGGAAGTACGTCGGCATCTCCGGCGCGGTCGTCCCCTCCTCCTCGGGGGCGGCCGGCCCTTGCTCCGCCTGGCTTGGCCCTTCGGAAGCAGCGGCGGTAATACCGGTGGTGCCGGTGGCGGCGGCGGTGGCGGCGGCCGTTGCGTCGTCGGTGTTGGTGGGAGCGGCCGTGTCCTGCAGTCGGTCCCACACCTGAAAGAAATACCTCGCGAATGCCTCCTTGGTGAGGGGTTTACCATCGCATCTCACCCGCTCCGTGACTTCGAGCAGGTGTGGCGAGGTGTACAAGCCTGTTTCCGAGCGTGCGTTGTTTCAAGCGTGAGCGACGACGCCGACGGGAACAGCGTTGCGTGAGATAAAAAATGTGGGGGAGGAGCAGGAAGTGCAATTCTAGGGGCATTATAAGGGGTGCAGGCTTGTTCTCGCGCTCCTGCTTCTTTGGACAACAGGGACACGTGCAACAGCTCTATATCCGAGGCACACGTGCAACAGCTCTTGATCCAAGCAAGAGAACAAGTCGGAGCCGGGATGTTGCTAGCCGTACCTGTCCTGAAGCCATGGTGACGCAGGATGGACTCGACCATCGCGCAGGTGCTTCCCTTGCCCTTGGTGCCCGTGACATGGATCACCGACAGACCGGACAGGTCCAGCTGTGTTCCACCCACATGCATGGAAGGGTTAGAGAGTGGATAAGGCGCGCAGCTATGTACGCCCATGGACTTGGGTTTGTATTGTAGCTGCTGCTGTGTGTTGTTGGGAAATCGTGTCATCCTTCCACAATAAGTGGGGTCTGCAACTGCTTGGGGACCGCGCGGGGTCAAATCAAAGAGGGCGATAGTTCCTGTGCTACATAAGTTCTCCTGTTCGACCCCATCTGATACGTAGCATGCAAGGTGCGCCAGCTACTACTGCTGTAGATAGGACCAACTAAAAAACGAACGATTCTACATAACGGAAACTGCAAGTTACAAGATGTGCACGCAACCTTTTGGTTCGGGTGATTGCGTTGCACATGATAAAATGTACCAACGGCATATTGCTCATGATCGATAATTCGGGTCGCTCAGTTCTGGGTGTTGGGAGCGTTGAGCAGCTCGGCCATGGCGGGCAGTAGATGGTACAAACTTGTTGTATTCATCGGGGGCGTGCTTAAGCTCGTCAATCGGTCACGGCATCAAGTCACGCATCACGCTTAAAACACCAAAGGAATCTCCACGAATCTCGGCCATTCCATCACATTCCCAAGGAAAATCAAAGAAACTTCCCGTTCCTCCGAACTTCATCACTGCGATCTCCGTAGATGTATACCCAACATATCACCCATCATACTATGCTACGAGTATATCGAATAGCCCACCTGCTCGTATGCATCGTCATGCTCCGGCAAAAACCAATATCACAAACCTCTTTACCAACTCCTCCAACACACTCAAGAACAAACTGCAAACACAACAATCAATATGATACCACCTTCACCAGACTCTCTCTCTCTTGTACAATCTCGTCTCTCCTCTTTCTCTCACTCTCTTTCCTCGACAGAATACGAATCGACCCCAAAACACTTCCTTCACTGCACGTTCATCAGAAACGTCACGGTGCACCGTGGGGGGGGGGGGGGGGGGTCCGCAGAATCGCAAACATCAAGCGCATCGGGATAAAATTACCCTGTGGGACCGAGTCTTTACCATCCATCAACTCATGTCCATGATCGGCACATTGTCCTGGGGGACGAGGGGGTTGATCTCAACTTCACGAAAATCGCGCGGGTCTACGACAGGGGGAACTGCAATCGCAGATGAGGCTACGGCAGCCGTGATTACAGGCTGGAAGTCGGAAATAGTCGTTGGGACTACATCAATGTCGATCGGCAGGAATGCAGAATGCGGAAGTACTACACCGGATGTGGTGGATGGGAAGCTCGAAGTCGCAGGTGCAACACCGGCAGCACCGGCGGACTGGAAGCTCGCACTCGGGCTCGCACTCGAAGGTACAACACCGGCAGCGGCACCACCGGCGGGCTGGAAGCTTGAACTCGCGAGTTCAAGCTGCATTCTGCATTCCTGCCGATCGACATTGATGTAGTGCCAACGACTATTTCCGACTTCCAGCCTGTAATCACGGCTGCCGTAGCCTCATCTGAGATTGCAGTTCCCCCTGTCGTAGACCCGCGCGATTTTCGTGAAGTTGAGATCAACCCCCTCCCCAGGGCAATTTGCCGATCATGGACATGAGTATGTTTCTTGATGTTGGTCTGATGGATGGTAAAGACTCGGTCCCACAGGGTAATTTTTATCCCGATGCGATTGATGTTTGCGATTCTGTAGAACCCCCCCCCCGCGGTGCGCCGCGACTTTATGATGAACTTGCATCATTTCCACCAGCAGCGTCTCTGGCGAGGGGTCCGTGTGTGACTTTGTTTTCAAGGACGCAAAAGTGCGTTACGCTTTCCACCACGGAAGTGCCGACGTCTTGAAGTAGTAGGGATCCCCGGAGATCCTTACTGCTCGAACTACAGTGATCTATCTGGGTGCCAATGGGCCGAGAGTATATGTTGTATTTGATAAAGACTTATCCATTACACTACTCAGTCAGCCCTTTATCAAATAGCTCACTCACCTGGATTCTGTCGAGATATGCTGCGACGCTCGTCACAGTTGACTCTCTTCGTCTGGATTGAGAGGGGTGGGGGGTGGAAAAAGAGAGACGAACGCACAACAACAGCAGCATCACCAAGTAGACGCTCGTCAAGCTCAACAACACGCAGTATGGGTAAGTACTGTATGCATAGGTAGAGACACACGCGTGTGTTTGGCGCTCTTGCGCTCTCTGATTGGATCAGCGATAAGCAGGCCCGGAACTACAGTATGTCCGTCCGCAAACCAGCAGCCGCCAACAAGGTGTACACCCACCACAAATTGCCCGTCCGCAAACCAGTCCAGAAATGAAGAATAGCTAGTGGGATCGACGTTCCATTTCGTTTGGTTCCTGGAACTCTATGCCCGGCCTCCATGCTAGAATCCACATATTCTGCGCAACATGCGCACGACCCAAGAGTTGTCACGCACTTGGACGCTTTTTCCAGCGCTGCACCCGCCGCTGAGATGGTGCCATAGAGCGTCGACTTGGCATCCTCAAAGGTTCGTAAGCCAGTAGCATCGCCACCCGCACCATGAACCCCCGCCATCTTCCTTCCGCTTTCTCTCTCTCTGGGGCGTGGAGCACACCACACGACGCGGTGTGCGCTGTCGATCGCGTGCGTAGGGCGTCCCCGGAGTGCCTACACCCCCGGGATTTTTCCCGGTAGACTTCGCGGTAAAGGGCGAAAAAATGGAAAGAGGCATGCACGCCTGACAACGGCCTGCAACCTCAAACCTCAAACGCCTGAAGTTGTGTTCGAGCGTTCGAGCGGCAAAAGGCACAAGGCACGAGGCACACGCTTGGTTGGTGCCCCCCTGCTTGTCCTGATCACATCACCACCAGGAACAATGCGACCTAGCTGGCTCTTGTATCTCCTTCCTCTCGCGAGCAGAGGGGGGCTCGCGTTTGTCTTGCCGGCAGCAAGCCCGCTTCATGTTGCCAGCGGCAGCACGTTGTTGCAGGTGAACGCGCCCTGCTCTTGGAGCCCCCCGATACCAGCTGATCCTGCTGATGCTACGCGTGCTATCGCACGACCGAGCGTAGCCCACAGGCAACATTTCTATGCTCTCAGGTGATTCCGCGTGGCCTCACGAGAGCGAATTGCGTGTACTTCTGTTGTCTAAAGGGTGTGTTTGGTGGCGTGTATAGATGTGCTCTCTGACAACAGAGTCAACTCTGTTCTCTGCAAAATGTGGGTTCACGGGACTGTCAGATTTGCTGGTTCGCATCTCGATCCCGTTGTCTCCATGTCTCTGTCCCTATCTTCATTTATGTGTTTGTCTGTCGCCTTGCCTGCCTACCTGCCTGCCTGCCTGCCTGCCTGCCTCTCTGTCTACACACTTTTCGCCATTGTCGCACGCACGTGTTCCGCTGGATGATTTCGCATGGACACGGCGGGGTTCCTTTCCTTTGTTGACGTCACGCGCGATTAGTCGCGGTAGACTATGTTGTGTTGTTGTCGCCTCTTCTTTGTGACCGAACTATCTCGTCCGCATCTTCTATCGCGTTGTCGTGTGTCTATGCTGCGTCTTGTGGCTGACTTCCCCTGTTGGTTCAGGATGATGGCCAAGAATACCCCGCCAACCGGTAAAACGAACTATCGCCGTCCCTCGGCTGCCATCGAGCGGGGAGGGGGATTTTTCGTTCCTGGCTTGGAGGGATTCAAGTGAGCGTACGCATACGAGTTAGACTAACTATTTAGCACGCCATTAGACTAGGAGGAATTAGGCTGGATGATATGAAGTTTGGAAACCCACTGCTATTTTCAGAATGAGCTGTTCTTTACCGGAGAGGTGGGCGTACGTGTGAGCGGAGAAGGCGTATTGAATGGCTGCGTTTACTCTTATGTTTCTCTCGATCTATATATGACCTGTTCTTTCCTAGGGCGCGCTTTGTTTTGGGCGTGGTGATACTGGGTCTCCTGAGCTTAGAAGGCTTTGCGCCGCCGGGGATGACCATCTTCCAGCTCGTCAGCAAACTACTAGCGGGGCTTGCGGGAGTGTCGCTGTTCGCCCAAGCGCTCTTGGACCAGCAGAAGGAACGAGCTTTGGAGGTGACGGCCACAATTCTATCTTGAACACGGGTGCATAACCTTCAAAGTATGTGCCACATCCCCCATGGCACGGGTACAGTATAGCGAACAAGCAAAGATGCGTTGTTTGGCTGCTGTTTGACCTGTGGGGCTCTCACCGAGCTAATCTGTGGCGCATGTGACGGCTTTGGGCATATTTGTCAGTTTGATCCTTGACCTCCTCTCCCCTTCCTCGCCCTTCAACTCCCGTGCCGTTGTAACACACGGCGCGTCCATCGTCGACGCTGTACTTGCGATGCCGTTGGTCTGACGGCGGGATATTTTTTCTTTCGTTATCCTTGACTTGCTTTCAATTCGGAGGGTAGGACATGTGTAGCAGACATGCCAGAGGCCCTCTATTTCCATCGATTTCAGTCGTTTTCATCGTGTGTGCACTGGGCGTTTTTGGTTTCACCTGGGCCCCGCGTGTGGCAGATGAGAAGGGAAGCGATCGCGGCAGCGCCCGCCTCGGCAGGGGGACCGGGGATGGACACGGCGGCCGGGGAAGGACAGGTGGGAAATCGGGGGCTCCTCTTGGGCAATGAGAAGCTCATTTTTTTTTTTATCTTGATGCACTCATTAGAGCCTGAAACCTGGGCGTGGGAAAGCAATAGCCAACACTCAGGAGTGACATATTTGTGATGGTTTGGGGCAAAGAGTAACCTGGCGTTGAATGAACCCTACCGCTTGCGGAAGTTTATTGAGGCGTTTTCACTCTTCGCTGTAATTGGAACACCTTGGGGTCTCTTACTAGTGTCTCGTTCACCCATAACCCTTCTTCGGTAGACGGTCTTGTAGGAACCACACTTTTAGTCATGGGGTTGGGACCGCCCCCCGTACCCCCGCCCCCGTGTCTCCGAATGCCCCCAACCCTTATGCCGGCGCTCCTCCTCGCCTCCACCTTCCACGTACACGTTTTCGAAGGTGGCGTTCTTCGATAGCGCGGCGCTGGGGAGCGACCTCGAGGCGAAGGTCATGTGGGCGGCGGACATCGCGCTGCAGCTCACGGCAGCCTGCTCCTTCGTGATGTTCTCGGACGGGGAGGTGCTGGCGAGGTGAGGAGCGTGTAGGAGCGATTGATTGGGGGTGGGCTGCTGCAGAGCGCCGAGACACAGAGGTATAGTCGCACAGGTAAACCCCACCAATGACTATGCACAACAGATCGCATTCACACATCTGCGAACTCCCCCCGAACGTGTAGGGTGGGGGCCACGGGAGGGGAATCAGACGCCAGCGACACGGTTGCGGCAGCCTTCAAGCAAGCCACGGCAGCGGCGGCAGCAGCAGCAGCAGCACAGACCGGGGAACAGGAAACAGGCTCCCCCTCTGCCGCCGTCGTCAACAGAAGCGCCAACGGTGATGACAACGATGCCTTGATGCAACTGCTGCCCTCCGCCTGCCGGCAGGGTGTCCTGTGCAGGGTGTCCTGCCCTTCCAGTGGCCGCGGTGACGGAGGAGGGGATTTGGTGGTGCTTCTGGGGTCGACCCTGGCGGGCGCGACCGTGTTGTCGGGGATGGACGGGGCGTGGTTTGAGCGGGTGTGTGCCTTTCTTGCTCTCGGCCCGGCGGCGGTGGGTACAGGGAAGCGGTAGCGGGTCGCGAAGTTGAAAGTATGTTCAGAGCGGGGAAACACACACAGAGATAGGGAGGGAGAGAGACAGACAGAGACAGAGACAGACAGCGACAGGTAGACGTTGCGCGGTTGAACCATCAGCACAGTACATGCGTAGGAATACGGGGTGAGCTCGGTGGTAGTGCGGGAAGGTCATGCTTTGCTGGAACAGCTTTTGGGTGCAAGAGATCGTGGGAAGGAGATAGAACTGGAGTACCACGAGATCATCTCTCGCTCTTTTTCTTTCAAAATAGGACAATGATCACGAGTCGTTCGTTCGCAAGTCGGAGGAGTCCTGTTGTTGGCAACACTCATCGTGGCGTGGGAAAGAGGCAGTCCTGCGCACAACTCCTTTCGAATGGTATTATTATTAGTGGATCTGTGAAAAGACGGAATCGTCCTCGACAGACGTTGGGGAGAGTTTCTACCTTTATGAAGGTGGTCTCCACATTACCCCCCCCTTTTTTCGAGACTCTTTCTTGTTTCCCAGGCAAGAGAAGTCTTCTTGGGGTAACCGGAACCCGACCGGCTGGCGGCGGGGCGATTCACATTCTTCACAATCCTCTGTACGTGTTTACGGATTCGCTACGTCCGCCACGATATCAGAAGTTCCGAGTTCGATAGCCAGTGCGTCCTCCCTTGGCCCACCCACCGTTTTTCTTTTTCCGTTGTCCGGAAGAAAATTTGGTGACCGGCGGGTTTTGAACCTGTGTCTTTTGCAACCACAAGCAGACACCCTGACATCTCTTCGTCGACGCCATAGTGAAAAGAGGGAATCGTCCTCGACAGACGTTGGGGAGTTTCTACCTTTATGAAGGTGGTCTCCACAGATCTGCTCTCCTTTTGACAAGTATGTCAAGCCTTACAAAACACACACAGTCAGTCATTCATGGCCTTTGTCTGGAGAAAGGCTCGATCCGTTTTTGAAGGAGCCTCTGTTTTATTCCGTAACAACTCCGCACGCATCGAGGAGAAGCGGTAAAGAAAATTCTGGTAAAAATTGCGTCCTACGCCACCCACCCCCACCCGCCTACTTCAGGTTTGGCAGCACAAACGCAAGGCAAAACACACATCCGCACTTGACACCCGGACAAGGGGTCTGCAGCAGTGGTTTTGCCGCCGCCCCGGCACCGTTCAGTCCAGGACCCCGAAACACCACTGTTCGATATTAGCATCATCATCATCTGAATCGTCGCTTTCGTGCAAATCAAGTTATGACTCAACATTGTCCTCCTTTCGTTGTCCAAACGAGGTGCCGGGGCGCGATGTGACGAGAGAGGTTTACCCGGCCGCCTGTACATGTCGCGGCAACGGACGAAGTTCGCGGAGGCGCGAATGGCACACACCCTGTCGAGGCTTCGACGCTCCTGCTGCGAAACTCACGTCTCGCTTCTCTCCCTACCCGCAAGAAAACGGAAAACGCGAGTCTGAACATGAGAGGACGCGTGTACGTTGCATGAGCGACTTCGTCAGACGCGCAGACTGAGCGGTGGTGCACCGTGCAAGGTCTGCTGCTTCATAACCAAGAAGCGTCCCCCCGGACGTTGTCGCATGGTGAACGTCCTACGGGGTATAGCTTCGCTCGTCTCGCCGCATTGTGAGACTTTCCGTATCCCAGGAGAACCGGGCGATCAATACAAACGGAGCGGAGGAGTGCCACGTCGTGCCCGAATCTCGGCTCTCGGCCCTATATTGCAGCGCACCGGTGTTATCGACCCTTTGTAAATTCGTTGTTTTTTTGTTCACCACGCACCAGGGCTGACACCTCTGATTCGCAGCCGTACACCCACCAACGAGAACAAGAGATCATACCTCCAAGGTAACTCATCCAACCGCGGATCTTCGCTACCGCTACCCACGCAAAAGCCGACAAAAAAATGCCGAGCTTAGTTGGCCTTAGACAAGAAACAAGAACCATACCAAATAAAAATCCGTCGACGAGAGAGAATATGATACCCTGAACCCTATTTCGCTAGCTAGTCTCTCTAGCTCTATCAAATCATCCGAGTTTACAGTCACCAATCCGGTCAACCATTCACCCCACCGGGGTGAAGCTCCAGCATGGAGCGCTCTTCCGATGCGTCCACCCAACGGCGTTTGAGATAATGCTACCAGGTGCGACAAGACTCAATTCTTAGACATCAAATGAACCTAAACGTCAAGCCGAACAAATGCGCCAGACCTGGACGTTTCGACCCTCTGCCTGGCGGGCACTACCAAATACCTTTTTCAGCAAACATAACGAGAATCATGTGATCAGTCCACGTGAAACAACAGAGTCAAAATATCGCATCGACTCATCGCATCACAGGAGAGTTAGGATGAGGGGCACTCCTTTTGCCCACTTCTCCTGTCCGATGGAGCTCGACAGCTCGTCCACTTGCGATTGCCTGAAGGAAAACGAGCAGACGAATACCCCATTTGGCGAAGGCGGGCGGGTAAGTGTGTGCGAAATCGTCCTTCTTACATCGAACAGATGCAGTGAACGAAATCCGGGGCGGAATCGGAGGCGGCATTCGACTCTTAGCGCTGATGGAACCCGCGGAACGACGTCAAATTCGACGAACATAAACAAAAATCAGGCTTAAATACTCAATATAAGACCAGCATCCAGCCGGTTTTTCTCCCTTTCAATGTAAACGAAAAATAATTCAACACATTTTTTTCGACTGTGGTTATATCTCGCAAGGGTAGTCTTTCCGTAATTGTATGTAAAACTTCAGAAAAACAAATGTTCACGAATCCAGCACATACGCGCACAATCGGATCAGAAAGCCTTCCAGCGTGTTTTTTCCCTGCTAGGACCGGCGTGTTTCCATTGGCCAGTCGCTTAGCACCGTGGAGACGCACGAGTCAAAGAAACAGAGACATCAGGTTATGCGTCACCGCCTCACAAACTACGCTTCAAAAGGTCCGACTCTCGAAACAGACGTCGCTAAATCAGCAAAATACAGCAGCTGCAGCCACACAACGCACTTGCAGGGGTCCGTGGTGACAACGAAGTCAACGTTGTCGACGTCCTCGATGGGGTTTTGCAGGATAGCATGGATGGAGACACCGTTCTCCGCCGCCAGCTCCCCCACTCGCTGGATGATCCCAAGATCGTCCCTGCACACCGTAAAAAAACAACGAAAAAAAAATTAAGATGGCCAATTTCGCAAGACGGCACTCTCACTTGAGAGACGTGGCCCAAAAATCTGCAACATAACGGAAATGAAACCCAATCGACAATATATCGGGCATTACATGGTGCGCTCCTATTTGGCTCGAAAACTTGCCGAGTGGAATGGAAACACGAACAGCAACACAAGAGCACTCACGAGCAGGTGATGCGCAAGTAAAAGGCTGACGTGAAGTCCGACTCCAGCTCCCACTCCTGCCACAGCAGTCGCAGGACAAATAAGACACGCAGGTGGGAGGTAAGGCGAGGGGATGAACGGGGCCAGGACCCACAACATACAAAACACCAATCACCGTGTGAAGATATCTTATGTACATGTACCATTTCGCCTGTTTTCGTGATTCGGGACATATTTCGCTGGCAGAAGCGAGTCTTTTCTCGAGCTTCCTTCTCAGGGGCACGTAGGGGGGTCGTCGGTACATTAGTACGCACGCCCGAGGACCGTCAGCCACCCGTGGCGAGTGTGCTTGACGCCAACAGTTGAAAAAAACTTGCTCCATACCCCGGGGACGTGTCCGCGAGAAGAGAGCCTTCACAAGAAATACAACAAAAACTGCTTTGCAGAAACAGGAAGATTTTTGATTCCTGCGCAACCAATGTATTGCTAACGCACACATGCCCCACAGACATTGGGCAACACTAACACATAATAGGGAGTGACCAAACGCAGCGGAGTACAGCAGTCGGACCTGCAGCAAGACGCCACCCCCTAAAAGCATACTCATGCACACTTAAAAAGTAAAGGCGAGTAAAATAAAATTACCACGCACATGATACAGATTCCAGGCAATTTCTGAAGGTTGGACGCAAAACCGGCACTACCGAACGTCATGACGTCGAGATGCAACGGTGCGACCGCGATGACATTGGCCATGTCCTCTTGCGTCGCCCCCAGGAGGCCAGCCACCTAACTCCCAAAGGTAACGGCTCGGTTGCAACGAACTCGAGCAGGCCGCGTAACCCCCACCGTCGGCTCAACAGCTGACACGTGATCCACGAACAGCCAACGCTCGCCGGGCCCCTCAATCAGGCCAATTCGGGCGAAAATGAACATGTGGACCATCGGACAAGACCTCGCGAAACAGGAGGCGCGGTCAAAAGAAACCTACAAGCCCAGCGAATCGCCTCACACAAGTCCTGTGCCTCCCGAGCGTTCTCACCGTCTCCCACAATTCCATCTAAAACGATCCACAGGTGACTGAGAATGACTCCCTCCACTGGCGAGACAAACGACACCAACAACGACAGCAACTTATCCACCAGAACGAGACGACCGAACGCCCTCACCCGCTACGCAGCACCCACCGCCATCTGCGACACCACCACGAGCATGAACGCTTCACCCACCTTGTCGAAGGGGAAGGGGGAGCCAACCTTGCCCGTCCCGAGGCGAACGATGTCGTTCACCACAGAGTTAGCCGTGGGGTACCGCCCCGCGCCGGGTCCAGAGAACGATGCCGTGCCCATGTTCTGCGGGAGGGGGGGGGGCGGCACAACAACCAGGTGTGGGTGGGGGGTGGAGGGATGGGAGTAGCTGCCACTGAGTTGGGGCGGGGGGCAAAATAGTTACAAACCTTGAGTCACAGGATCCACATGCGCCGATATCTAGACAACTCTGTAGCCGCTCGTAGAACGTTCCGCTCCCCCAACAAGCCTACGGAGGGTGTGAAAACCAAATCCGTGACCCGACTTAGGCGGTATATTTGATCCACCAGAGACCTGCTCTACATACTACCAGGCTGTGTTCCACCCCTAGACTAGAGCTGACCAGTACACGCACGAGCTTTGTTGCGACCCCAGTCCACTCTCAAGCCTGCAACGACAGCCACCCCCTTAAGGACGCAAACCTTGGAGTCGACGGAGACGATGTTCCCTGCTCCTCTGGCGGAGGCAATGGGGTGGCTGAGCGGCACGAGCACGGGGGACACGAAGACCGAGAGCTTCTCGCCGTCGGGGGACCGCATGGCGGTGCCCAGCAGCTTGATGGTCGACTTCATCATCTTGGCGTACTCGAAGTCGACCGAGGTCAGGGATGAGATTCCCTTGCACTGGATCTGTTGAACGAAACAAAAAACAAGAGCAATGTATACAGAACGTCTCAGGTTTGTTGTGACGAGGGGGTGTTGGGGTTGCGACGGCGCTGGGGTGGCAAGTGTCGCCGTGCCCAACGCCGCCGTTCGCAGATTGGCATGTTCCCGACTTCAGATGTCTTCGTACTCCAAACAGCTCTAAAACGTGCTGCTACAATACAGTCCGGCAGCTTGAGAAAACAAACACTAGGACCTCTCCCACCCTCTCGGAGACACTCCCCCAACATCATCATTTGCTCCTCAATCCTTCATCTTGACCGCACTCCCCCCGGTCCTCCGGCTCAACCACGCACCCCCCCCGCCTTCGTCCTCCGTCTTACCAAATCCGATGGCACCGTGGCGCCGAACGCCAGCTTTGTCAGGAGAGCGATCTTAGCCTGCACGTCAAATCCCTCCACGTCCGCCGTAGGGTCCGCTGCGATCCGACCGAAGAGGTGTCGGGGGTGGGGGTGGGGGTGAAGCAGTCGTGACCCAGCAGATGCGAGAGTTGAGTTTTGTCACAGTTCAACGGGGGTTCTATCTACGAGTGACACCGCGCATGCAGCACGCACAGGAAAAATTCGATCCGAAATGGATCGCACGAGAACACACACACCCCTTTTACACTCCCAACAGGTGGTGAGCGTGGATACTACATGCCGGCGCGTCCTAAAAATATTTGAGAAAAGGGTTTCGCTGATGCCGTGAAGGGGTGCGATATCGTCCGCAAAATTGGCATATGCTTCCCTCTCTGCATGAACGAGCTACACTACATTGCTAACCCTAAAGGAAGCAGGGGGGGGTTGGTTTAAATTCCTAGAGCAGTGTGAAAAACAAATTCCACGCTTACAACCCCCGGGAGCAAACAAAGCTCAGACCGGCCCCGCCCGGTACCCGGGATGCTCTCTAACCGCTTGGCGTCATCGGCGACACAAACGCCGCATATGTACCTAGCAAAGACACACCCGCACGGACACACTCTCGAACAACCAAGGTATCACAGACACACGGCGGGAGTACGTGCCGCACTTCCTCCTCACCCTCCGCGTAGCCCAAGTCCTGCGCCTCCTTGAGCACTTCTCCGTAGTCGGCGCCCTCGCTCTCCATCTTGGAGAGCATAAAGTTAGTGGTCCCGTTCATGATGCCGCACACCTAAGACCAACGACAACAACAGAGAATAGATACGCGCGCGCGGGGGGAGGGGGGGGGGAGGGGGGATCCACGTACAACAAAGCGAGACGAAAAATTAAAAGACCAAAAAAATACACAAGCTTTGACGAGATCCGATGCTTGTACAGGGTTTCCTCGTCAATAACGTGTGCACGTGCGCAGGGACATTACAAGAAAGAACGGACCATTCCGCACACGATAATAGCCGAGCAAGCCTGAAAGTGGTTCAGCGCGAAGACGAACTGGCAAGCTTTGGTTTGCTCGTCACCACGCTTCCCGAGGCAGAAGCGATAAAATTGTGGCAAGCACACAGGACCACCCCCCTTGGTCTAACTAACGTTGTGCACCACTGAACTGCAACATTACTGTCTGTTGCTTCTTTTTCACCATTGCCGTTTCGTGAGTGACTTCAGCTGCTCTCATGGCGGTCGCTCATACAGCCAAAATTCACACCCAGCTGCGTTGTTGCACTACTATGACAGCACTCGGACCCACCACGCAAGGTGCAGCGTGCACAAGGCCACTATTATACCACCACCACCACCAACTCCCCCCCCCCCCCTTCTTGCCTTGAGAATCTTGTCCCCCAGGTAGTCGTTCTGCAGTGTGGCGATGATGGGAATGCCTGCACATGGTGGGTCGCGACACACACATGGCGGGGAACGACAACGGAGGGGTGTCGAGGGTCCGTCAGTCAAAATGGATGAAACCCAAAAAAAAAACAGGAGCTGTCTGTGCGGCGTACAAGGGTGGTACCCAGGCGGTAGATATGCACACAAGAGCGAGGCTTCTACCGCCCGTCGAAACAAGTTGGCGACCAAACGTCGCGCGAGAAAACAACAAATTGGGTGACGTTGACGCACCAACCCACAGCTACACCAACCCACAGCTAAAACGCTCAAGTGGTGGAAGATCCAGCAATGTTTCGCTTCCCGCCGAAGAGGACGATGAGCAAGTATGCTGTGGCTACGGCGTGCACCATAGGTACATTTGCAGCGTGACGCGTCAGAGGTTATGCAGGAGAGAGGCTAAATAGTGGGACAAGAACCGTACGTAGGCAACGAATGTAGAACGCAAAAAGTATTAGCTTAATTCGTAGGTGGCAACAAGCAGGGCGCTCGCTCTCCTCCTCCTCCTCATCCTCGTCTCCCATGTGTCTCCTGACGCCCCCGTCAAAACTCACCGCCGCACACCGCGGCCTCGTATCCGAACGTCACCCCCGGGTGCTCCTTGAGCAGCTCCTGGATCTCGCCGAGGTACGCAGCCACGAGGGCCTTGTTCGCCGTGACGACGTGCTTGTTGCGACGGATGGCCTCGAAGACCACCTTCGCACCACGAGGCAACAACGCAAAGACGTCGACAACGGCTTTGACAAACAGCAAAATTGAAAAATTACAATATTGTCGCCGATGCTAGCGGTCTATTTAGTCGACGGTCGCCGACGAGAGGCCAGGCATAAATGCGGCAGCAACAGCAGCACACAAACAGCCGCAGTTGCGACCCCACGTGTACCTGCGCAGTATTCTTAAACCTGGTACGCATATATAGATATTGCCTTTCGCCCCCTTTCGGAAAGATGTTCTCCCATCCCTTGTCCGCCTGCTACTGCCGACGACCACTCAGCAGGTTGCCCTCCTTTTTCGCTACGATCAGCGCCGAACCCAGGCAAAACCTTCCGGCAGCACGCTCACTCAAATCAACAGCAGCAGAAACCACAACGACGGCGACGACAGGGCGATGGGACGACCCGAACTCTGAGAGCGTTTGCGTCCATGCTTCACTCGACCCAACCCACGACATCGGGGTATCACTCACGTCCTTCGCGTCCGTGACGCCGCCCATAAGCTCCACGACACAGTTGATGGAATCGTCGTCCAGGATAGCGGCGTAGTCCGTCACCACCTGCAGCCCCCGGACGATTCGAACAAACAGACCGGTGACAGCACGAAGGTGATGGATTATTCGATTGAAATATGTCAAAACCAGGTTCCATACAACAGAAAGGTGTAGGCAATGACGACCCGCAAGAGATGCACAGGCAAAGAGAGGAAACAGAGGCATCAAATCCCGCATCAACGACTAACAGCAGTTTTTCATCCCAAAATCAAATCAGGGCCACATTCCAGCAAAACTTGGCGCATGTAGAACCCCCGGCCGCCCAAGCGCGTCACCGGCACATGTGTGTGTCGGCATCACACCGGGACCACCATCGGAAACAGACATGGCAAGAGGGCCAGAAAAAGAAACTCGGCGCAATAGAGCGGCAGCAGTAGCAGCAGCAAAGTGACACAAACGACAAGACCTGTCGAACTGCAAGACAACACCCACCAATCCCCGACAGCCGAGTAATGGTCCACCTACATCAGCATGCGACTGCTGTAACTCCTGCTCCTGCCCGCCAACAGCTGCCCCTACTTCCTCATCTTGGCAAACGTAATCGAAGACAAATGCGGTGGTCACAGATTTCCTCGATTTGACAACAAAATGTTCAATTTTCAATATGGCAAGAACCAACGGGATGGAGCAAACCTCCTTCTCACAGTGCCGCATGACGAGGAGTGTATAGCTGTGTGTCCGGTGCGAGTTGTTGGATGGGATATTACAGGAGGTTATTTGTTGTCAGAGATTTCTTTTGGACGCAACCGTGTTTCCCTTGTTGGACCTGGGAATCATGGGTTAAAGTGCGGCGAACTGAGCGTGCATCGGCTAAGTAGGTATCGTTATTGTCCTACTTTAAATAAAACACGGGAAACGTGCTAGATATGCCGATGGGTCATTGTGTATGTGCGTGTCCGACAGAATCCGCAGACAAGAGTGCGGATGTACGCGCTGCTTGATACCAACTAAACTACGGACGGTTGGCTATTACCGTACCCCCCAAAGTGCGGGGCTATAAGCTACAGGCTGCATAGGAGGGTCATTCCACGGCACCGGGCTACCCCTTACGTGTTTCGGCCCTCCGATAAATTTTGCTAAGTTCGGGAGCTCTTTGAGCATGGCGGCCCGATATCGCACTGAAGACTGGCATAGAACATACAGTGCGGAGTGGGCGCATCGACGCTACCGGCTTGTGGTTGGGCGGCAAGCTCATGAGTTCCCCGGAGGAGGGACAGCAAGTCGATCGGGCCGCCATGCTCAAAGAGCTCCCGAACATAGCAAAATTTATCGGAGGACCGAAACACGGAGGGGGTAGCCCCGTGCCTTGGAACGGCCCTCCTATGCAACGCACTTCGGGGAGTACGGTATTAGCCGGTGTCGTCCGCTGCCTCGACGTGGGCTACCCCGGGAGTGCCCGGCCAATACGGCCCGTCGCGAGGCCCGGAGGCGGTCACGGTGGAGGGCACGTCAGGAAACCGCCCATGTGCAAGCAGGAAGTGTAGGTAGGGCTGCGGGCTTCTTTCGTGAGGGCCTTCGCTGCACTCGGATCGGCGCTTTTGGCAATATTAGTGTTGGAACTCACCATGGGCTATCGAGAAGGAAGCTGGAAACCAACACCGTCAGAGCACAACAACATGGATGCCTTTCGCCATGGGATCTGAGGGTCTGAACGGTAGTTCTTAGGAAAGACTCGCAGGTTACGGCGGGGGGCTGCAACTCCCTGGGACAAAAATATATCAGGGGATGGAAGCATCTTCACGCCCCTGCGTCCAGTCTACCAAATAGAGCAAGGCAACAGCGCCTGTTCCAAGACATCAACCAACAACTAAGTCTTCGTCAGGGCCTTCAGGATTGCTACGCGTGAAAACCTCACAGCACTCACAGCGGTGGTTTTCGCCGTGAGCTCGACCTTGCTCACGCTGCGTCCTCTATCCAAATACGCTTTGTATTTTTAACTACCGTATCGTTTCTCATAGTGCGGCGCATGGCACTCTGCCGTCGAGCCCACCTCCGTTTTAGGGTCCATCTTGTAGTCTCTGGGCTTCTTGCTGTCCCGTACGCAAACCTTGATGATTTCCGAGTCGCAGCCCAGCCCCTGGAAGAACGCCTTCTTGTCCTGTTGGCGCCCCAACGCAATCGTACCCGCCCACCAAGGCAAGAGACAACACACAGAATATCAAGTCGTCCATGTTCGCAGGTCATGAGCGTGCCTACGCATTGACGAGGGTACATGTGGCTCATTTGTCTTTACAAACGTGTGTCGCTTGTGGTGCCCTGCCTCTCGGCGGAACAGGGACCGCCTACGCGAGGGTTTTAGAGTTAATATATGAAATACGGGCTTCGTATCCCTATCCCTAACCCTAACCCCACCCCGTAACCCCCTTGTAGAACAAAACCAAGCTTAAATTGCTTGCGAGGGCTGCTGTGGAGAAGACACGGTATCGATGGTGTTCCGTCACCTGCTCGCAGATCTCATACACGCCTCCACCGACAGTGCCCCCCCCGAACATCCCCACCCTGAGGGGTGCCCCGACGGGTGACGGTCCCGTCGTGGTGGCCGGCGCGGCGGCCTCCTTCTCGGCTGCTACCATGCGCAGCGCGGCGCGCAGCCTCCTGCGACCGGGTAGAGAGGGGGGTAGAGGGGGCGCTAAAACAAAACAACCGGGTATGGCAACGGGTCCAAATGGGACCTGTGGGGACAGACAACGTCGTCGGTAACTACGATAATCCAAACGTTTGATATGTCTGCGGGATATATATTCTCAGAGACCAGGGTTTGCGTGAGCGGTTTCACCCTTTCGGACTGCAGCAGCAGCGGCATTGTTTGCCCTATGGTGTCGGTCGGCATGATAACCATACACGCAGTATCTTGCTGCTCATGCTGAAAATGCCACGAAAGCTTGCACCGCAAACCGTCGGAAGCAACACTGCTGTCCGTCGAGGTGCGTGCATCCCCTTTCATATCCGTGCGCGGGTCGAAACGCAGCAACAGACCCGACCGAGATCTAGCTTCAGATCCGAATAGAAAGGGATTTCGATTTATTTTTTCCTTCCGTCTGGCAGCGTGCGAGAGAGGGAGCCGGGGTATTTCGGGTGCATTGTAGCGCTCCGCCCAAGCTCAACACGCTTCCCGTCTCGTATCATGTAACGCTGTTGTGGGCGTTCCGCGCCAGACCGACGACACGATGATACTATTGGGGATTACATGACAAATCCTGGAAGAACGCCGACGGTATCGGACATGAGCCAACCAAATGATCAACAGGCAACCGGCGGGAGAAAAGACGCAGAGAACATGCTCTGCCGATCAACTATCACTGCCAGGCATAGGCATGGGGTCTGAATCTTCTGCGGCGGCGTAAGCCAGCCGGGGGTATGCATGACGCTGCGCTAAGAGATGAAGGCGGATTCCTATGCATAGTCTAGATGCATAGAGCTTTCAGACGAATGTTGAACATGAGCTTCACGGTCAGCACTGAAAGCTTTGCCAATGGTAACTTCGAACAACGGGCGGATCTGTTCTTCATGGAAAGTTGCTCCTGCTGGTGCTGTCGCTGCTACACAGGAAAAGAGCACCCCTGCAACAGGTATAAAGGCAACCCGACCTGTCGGACAAGTGGTTACGGTCGTGCTTGCTATGTCAGCCTACACGCGTCTAACATGTCACATGTTGCAGCGCCTTCATGTGTACGGTAGTGCAGAAAGCATACACACGTCCCTGCGCCCCTCGCACGAGACTGACACCGCGCTCCTCTCCCTTTACCTCCCTCTCACCTCCGTTCCACGGCGCCGCTCTCCCATACTGGGGTGCGAGAGTTCACGGTGGGGGTGAAAGCTCCGGACACTGCGCGCGACGACGATGCCGTTGGGACCACGAAAGCTTGGGACCACGAGGACATGCAACCGACAGCTACCGCGGCCGTGGAAATAAACGACGGGCGCTGGCGGCGGCCACCCACCCTCGTCTTCGGCGTGCACATTGGTTCCATGATTCAGTTAGTCTGCTCTTTCGTTGCCAGGGTTGCAGTATACCGTGGTTCGTGCCACAGGTGTATGAGGCATTTGATAGAACAGGGATCCCCCCCAGTTGTAGATTTTCAGCTGATTGTGCGACACCCCCGATGGGAGTCAGACATCACAATCAAACCTCAGCAGCCTAAGGATTGGACAGCAGGTAGAGCTGGATGATGGCAAACCAACGGCATCAACGACATCGACAATGCCCTGCGCTCGCGTTTCTAGTTGCAATGAGCTTGACTGGTTCGTCCATGTCGTTCGCCCCACCATTAGCCGCCAGAGGTAGTGGTGCGGCACGACCGTCCCTATGCGGCGTAACATCAAGCAGCCGGTCACCGTTGAGGTGTGTTTCAAACACCTCACCAACAGCTCCTCGAGCAGCAGCAGAAGCAGCCGGCGATCAAGATGATGACAGAAGTAGCGCCAACGATGATGATGGCATTGATGAACTCGTTGGCATCGACGAGTTCAGGGCAAACAAGGCAGAGAGGGATCGACTAGAAGAGCAAGTTGAAGACGGACGGCGTGCGGTCGTCGAAGCTGCGGCAGCACCCGTAGCTGGCGTGGGGAAGGGTGTGGGGCTAGGCTTGGAGGGGGCAATATTCCCGAACGACGCGTTCCCGGGCTCGCCAGTCACCAAGGAGATTACGCTCCAGGATACCAAGCTCGAGAATGGACAACCCGAAGCAATGGTCGGGTTTTGGAAGGTACACCAGTACAAAAGCACGTCTCATGCGCCGATGTCGTACTGTAGTGTAGAACAGCGGTAGAGGGTGGACCAGATTCTACATTAAGCTGTCAATAGACACTGCTGTGCCGTGTCCCCTATGAAGGTTACATTTTACAACACAAGACACAACGGAGGGATTATCCCCGATGTTTTGTCGTTGACCCAGTAGAGAAGTACAGGGGATGTATTGTAAAATGTAGGATACCTTGTATACAGATGTTTTTGTACTTAGCACCAGCTGGCATCACTGATAAAATCATCAGTGTAAAGACTTAAAAGACTCGAAATAAGTCCAGTACCCAGCCGGTTTTCCTCCATTCACTGAACAGAATCCACCACATCCCGTTCGGCTGTGGGAATATCTCGAATGGGTAGTCTTTCTGTGCGTGTATTTATTTTACTTAATTACATACGTTGTACTCTCCAGCAGTAGCATGTATGCACGAGTAGCAACATATGGTCGATACAAAGGACTACCCGAAGCAGATCGTTTCTTGTTATGCACCCCCAGGCACATTTTTGCAACATGCGCACTTGGTATTCAAGGCAGTACAGCAGCCCATCAGCCCAGTTTCCTTGGACGCCCTGGGCGTGCTCAACGTTCCGCTTTTAGTACTGCCGCACCCCCAACTATATCTGTTTACCCGCCCCCTAGTTTTCACTACATGTCTCTACACAACGGTACACTGCAAAACCCTTCCCTTTGCCCCCACCCCGTCGCTTTGTTGCGTTTCGCCGCACGCGTGCTTCGCTCCGCTGACGGTTGCGTTCAGCTGTACGGCAGCACAGGTGATGGCGAAGACCTAAGCGGCCGCGTTATCCTTCGAGCTGACGGCCAGGTAACACGAAGTGCTGAAGGCGGGGTTGTGAGCTATTATATTTAGTGTTTTATTTCATACAACGGCAGCAGTAGCAGCAGCGGCAGCAGTCGACGCCCCTCGTACAACGCTGCTGCTTACTGTGTACTGCGGCGGTGTACGCGGCCGGGCCTTCGACGTCCGTGCCCGTGCGCTGCTGGTGTGTGTTACAGAGCTCTATTTTTATCGTTTCGTGCACGATGCACTTATGTTCGTCCGCGCATAAGGACCCCACTCTACGCTTCGTCTGATTTGATCGTGGTCTATCGCTCCTTGTGGGTGTGCCGTATCCCTCCCCACCGGATCAAAAGGTGGTGGGCGGCCCAACCGTCAGAAAAACGCCTGGTGTCGAGTGGAGCGATCCAGAGGGCCTCCAGCCCGTGGGCGGAAGGTGGGCGGTCTACTCGGACAAGAGGACCAACAGGGCGCGCCTCAGGTTCACCATCGTGCTGTCTTTCGAGAAGAAGCAGCAGCTGGAGATGGACGGGACGGTGTTGATGGTGGACGGCATGGGCGAGATGGGGGGGCTGCTGTCGGAGGGAAATGACGGGGAGGGGGCGGGGGAAGCAGAGTTGGGTGGTGAGCCCAAGCCGCAGGTGTTTGGCGGCGTCTTCAAGCGCAACGGGGAAGTGATGGACGACGGTGAAGGGGATTTCGGCATGATGAAGGTGCCCGCCGGAGAGGACAAGCTCGTCGCGACCGTTGGATCCCAGCAGAAGCGATTTTGGTAGTATTAGAAATTGTCACGAGGCGTTCGCTAGTATGTAGTTATCTTGCGCAGTGGTCAGGTCGATAGAACCAAGGCTTGTCACAGTCGTGCTGCTTCTACGACATTGATTGGTGCTTTGTAATTGTGGGTGAAGAACACAAGCGCGGAGTCTAAGCTGCGAATTATTTTGTTTGTCGTTGGCGGCGGTGTTCCGAAGAAGGCAGCAGAGGCATACACCGCAAACAAACGTCGGGATGTCTACAACACTCTGTTGCGTGCCATGATTTCGTATCGCGCACATTATTTCGGGCGTCCGATTTCGGATCTGTAGTCGTGGAAGAGGATATGTGGGGAATGACGTCGGTGACATTTACCTCACACTCCACTAGAGCCACACTGCGGTGTGACCACCGTATACCGAGGGCATCCCCTGACCATACAGAAGGGGCCATTTCAACCCTGCCAAAACGTAGGTTCGTTGTCTCTATCTCTGTCAGTAGACGGGTATCGTGTTCCCCTTCGCTTCTTTCAGCACAAGTGACAGGAATGCATCCAAAGCGTTTGCGGCCTTTTCATTGCCTCGGTCGACTTACACACAACCTGGCCTACTAAACCACTAGTCATAGTGTGGTATTTCCATGTAAGTCATGAAATAATACGTATGGGGATCGCATCGCCGAATAACCCGCACAATCACGTGGCGGGCAAACGTCACCCCCATCCGTTGCGTTCCCGGACCCAACCTTGTTTACTACGTGCATGGCTATACGTGCGAGGGATAATACTACCCGGTGCCTGTCTGCCAGTCGTGCTTGGTATGAAGATTCGCCTAAGGAAAACGTCGAGAAAAAGTACCGATCGACAAAATCCAATCCAGGAACGCCAAAACCGTCACGACGCTAGCAAGGGTGTAGGCTGACTCACCACTCACGGACAATGTTTTATAATGCATGTACCTTTGTCATTTCCCAAGTTGGCGGAATGCTGCTTGACTCCAACAACCGACACTACGATGTTTTTTGCATGACAAGTAAGCGCGTTTTTGTAGTTTGTTTGTTCGGTTACAGGATGACGGTCGTTAAAATATATGCGACGGCGAGAGCATTGATTAGACAGCAGAAGGACGGTGGCTACAAACAGACCTTGTTTGCTATTCATCCATTTATGCCCAACAGACTTACCGAGAGGTGATTCTCGTGTTCTTGAAGCAGCTCTGCAGAAAAGCGCCGGCGTTTGTGTTTCTCGCCGATTGGTCCTTGAACGACGTTGTAAACGGCGGCCTTGGGAGTCACGACAAGTACATGTGCGTGTCAATCTCGAAATACGTTATGTACCGGCAGGACTTGCACTCCCTGTTCCTTGTTACTGCATCTCGCTGGAACCACGGACCGTGCGAGTGCGCCCAAGAAGGAGTCCTGTAGCAGCAGCAACAACAGGCCACGTACAGAGATGACGACCTGTCTGTTTGAGGCAAAGGGAAAGTACTGCTGCTGTGTGGTAGGGAGTTCGAAATCTTGTCAGGGTATAATGACGGACCTGCTCATATATTCGAGCTGTGCGCGAGCTTGGTAGCATTTTTCACATATTATGTTTAGGCTCCAAACACTAAAAAAGCCATGTGCTTGTAGCTCTTGCCTTCTTGAAAGGGCCGTCGTTGACAAAATTCTGAGTTTCATCGCGTGTTGTCGCCGCCACTGAGAAAACGCGCGATTGTAGTCGTCGAGTTCGTTGACCAACCTCCCCCCCCGACACTTCGATGATGCACCGCGGGCCTTCTGGATTCGCCGCCATTGCCTGGTACGCTTGTCCGTCCGAGGTGGAGAACCTATCACCAACGAAGGGTTGTCCAGTGATTTAGTACGTATACGCCGAGCAAATAGTGGGCTGATTTTGGTGTTCTAAGGCCACTTGTTAAGCTGTCCTTTTTTGGGCTGTCCCTTTTCTCAAAAAGGGACAACTGACCAAGAACCACTTGTTACGTGGTCTTTTTTTGCATTTTTGAACCTCCCGAAAAGGGACAGCGAAAAAAGATCGCCCCATCCTGTCCCTTTTTGGGCAACTTTGTGACAGGATGGGACGGTCCTTTTTTGTTGTCCTTTTTCTGTCACAACACATGACACTTGCCCACAAACTTGAATATCTCGACGGATGATCCCCGCAAACTCTAACGGTATTCGCACGAGTCGTGTCATGTGACTGGTACGGAGTCAGTAGCCTCGGCGATAGACGTAATGTTGTCATTCGGCTGACCAGGTGGACAACCCGATGTGTGTGCGGCAAACAAGCGGCAAACGAGCCGAAAGAGCCTGGACGCAGCAGCGGTGGGTCTTTTTGGTGCACAGTCAACTTTTGCGAACACAACTTCTGGGCGACCTATAGCGTCCTGGTCTGTATCAATCACCACACAAGACGAATCAGACGCACAGCTCATGGCGGATACCTTTGTCATCGCTGTTGCTTCGGTGTGTGACGAGGGAGCATCGATGAACCAAAGTTGCAACACGGGGAAAAAGAACAAAAAATATGCTTGGAGACGCGGCGGGTCATTTTTTCCGCTTGTCCACCACTCTCGGGCTCACAACCTCTGACCGCCCGTCAGCCTTCTGGTCTGTATCAACCACCACACAAGACGAACCATACACATAGCTCGTGGCGGATACCTTTGTCATCGCTGTTGTTTCAGTGTGTGGCGAAGGAGCATCCATGAACCAAAGTTGCGGCATGGGCAAAAAAGAGCAAACAAAGCTGGTTGTTGGCGCGGTGGGGTTTTTCAAGGTGCTGTTGACTCTCGCCACCTCAGTTGCCGTGCCTCCCACTGCCCTGTGGTCTCGATCAGCCGCCACACAAGGCGGACCAAGCACCCAGCTCGCGGGGGATAGCTTTACAGTTGCTGATGCTTCGCTCTGTGCGGAGATATCACCGAAAAACCAACTCGGTGCCAAGGTACTCATTGTGAGACGAACGGCCGTTGCACTTGTTGTTGCAGGGTCATTTTTTTTGGCGGATGAGCAAAAAGGATCGACCAGCACCGTAACAAGTGGGTCATCTTTTTGCTAGATTCTTTTTTGGTTCGTCCCTTTTTGAGAAAAGGGACAGCCCAAAAAAGGACAGCTTAACAAGTGGCCTAAATAGGGGACCCAATGTCTCGAACACTTTTTCTCAATACGTTTTTCAGAGTCGCCGTTGGATTCTACGCAACAGGACAAAGAGGGGTCTGGGGCATGACTGCAACGTCGCAGTCTCCGTTTACCCTTGTCCCTTCTGGGAACGAACGTTGTTCTAGGTTATCGTGACACCTTGAGTGCAGGATCATTGCCGGTGCGGTTGGCCGAGCCTCCTCGAGGGTTCCCTCTGCCTCGCTGCAAAACTAAAGACTGCCACTTACTCTTGTTCAGAAATATAGGGACCATTGCGGTATTCATTCGCGCTTCTTTCAGAATGGCCCTTATATTTTCCAACACGTGTGTAGAAATCTATGCTCGATATCAGTGTATTGCTTACACTTGCCTTCTGTGGTTTGAGAGAGGGAAGGGAATGCAGGACGAGGGCAAGATGGGGAGCGCGAGTAGCAGTGATGAGAGCGCACAACCGTCATATTTTGTCCCTTAAAAGAAATGATATGACGATCGTTTTCATCTTTCCGAGTGGGCCTGGTGAGGAACAGATACTGACACCCAAAAAGTTATTGTCAAACTTTGTTATTGCAAGTGTCGCTAAAAAATGGATAGAGCACCAGGTCGGCACAACGACTCAACGGCCCAGCTACGCCACAGTGCATCATACGAAGTCTAAACCACACCAATCGTAAACATCATCTTTGATAGACCATTTTCTGTCGATGCTGGATGCAATAATAAATTTAGCGGTAAATAGACCAGCAGGGCATGTGTCACTCCGAACTCGTCTAGATCGGTTTTTGGTGCCGAGACTGCTGGATCATGAAAAACGAACAAGAAATGCAGTACCCTCCCCCCTTCGATGTGAAGACTTGTCACAACGCGGTCTCTCACCTCTCGAGTTCCAGCGAGCTTCGTTCGTCACATGCATGCGGGAGCATGCTTATTATACGCGTCTCTCAGAGTTCATGTCCACACAACCACTACTACGATATAAGACTGACGTATGTTCATTGGTCAGCCGATAAGCGCGGTCGATGCTATGTATTCGACAAATAACCACGCTTCACGTGCACTGTGGACTGTCGTTTTTCGGGGCGGGATGACAAGGACACGAGGAGGAGACACAAGACACGAGACACTGCGATGATGTTGACTGTGGACATAGGCGTTATCAGTCCATGTGTAAACGATATTGCTGCTGTATGACGTAGATAGGTACCCTCCATGATAGGAGAAACTCCCAGGCAAACCCCGAGTCCTGATCTGGTTGTTGGCGTCGTCAGCAGGACGCGAGTCTACATGTTGACCGCATTCTCACGTTGATCCTGTTGACAAGTTGACAAGTTGATACATAGGAAGTGCCAGGACAGGGGACCCCCCCCCCCCCCTCCCTCCCTGTCATGTTCAACTAGAGTAGGGCCACAATCAATGAAAGTGAATCCTGCTCCTCTACGACAATATGGTTCGCCCCATGTCGCAGTCACATTGTCACATTGTCACATTTCGACGCGAGGACAAGAACTGCGGCGAAATACCTACCGTTTCAAATGATGAGTCGTTGCGTCGTTGCCATCGTTGCCCTTTTCTCGTTTTCGCTCTCTCTCGTTTCGTCGGATCTGCGGGGCTGTACCGTAGCAGCGACTTGACCTAGAGAAGCAGCAGCATTAGCACCAATCTGATATATGTATGTAGACTACAGCAGTATATAGCGGTAGGATGGGGTCTGTGTTGAAGCAGGTACGGCCGAGTCCAGGTCGCAAGAGCAGATCATCGTCTAAACATAGCCGACGACTCTGTTGCTTGCTGGTGTGTGCTGTTGTAGTACCATGTTCATGTCAAGGGTCGTTGCGTGTCGCCAAGGAGTGTTCTCGACTTGCGCCATACTTTCTGACTGCGGATCAGAGGGTAGCTCTGTGCGGGCAGGCCACAACGACCGCTCCGGCACTTTGCGCAAGGAAGGCTCACGCGGCACCGCGACTGTCAGGCTCTCATATCCTTGAGTTGTGCTCTGGGGCGATCTCCGAACTTCCAGGGCTGTGCGTGGCGGGACTGTCCCAGAGTACGGCCAGGAATCTTTCTCCAGATCTCAGGGTTGAGCTTTGCAGAGGTGCTCTTTCGGATGTAAGTCTAAGTACTTCACTGCTGTGTTGCGCCCCGGCCGTACCGGATTATCGTGGCGCAATGATGGACCTACTGTATGCACACCGAGCGCTCCAGAATAGGTGCGCGTAGGCCCCCGCCGATCAGAAACGTCAATTTCGGGTGCAGCGCCAATTTCTCATTTCGTTGCCCCCGTCAGGCATACACATGTCATAGGATATAGTGTAGGATGCATCGCTGACGTCTGTTTCGTAGCACTCAATTGTTATGTCACGTATTTTTCTCCTGAAAGCCCTGTATTAACAACCTATCCTTTGTTTTTACGACCCAAAGGTAGACAGCTCTCTGTGCGCGGTCTGATTGCAAGAGAGATGCAGCAACCGGTTTGACGGTGCTACATAGCGCGGTCATGACCATGCCAGAACGGGCCCGCAGTCTCGCAGTTCATTCGGCGTTTCTTATCTCCGGGACCGTCCTGTGTGCCACTTACATTCATCGGCCGTTGACGCCTTCGCTCACAACTATTCCCGCCGCTCATGTCCACTTCCTCTCAGGCACCGGCGCTGTGTGTAGAGCACTCTGTTCAATCCAAACGAAAACCTCATCTGGTGGTGGACGTGTGCAAAGGAGCGTCGAACGTAGCGCCAGCCGAGTGCCTCGATCTGTTACCGCAGAACCTTCCTCTTGAAGCAGCGGTTGGCCTTTGCAGCGGAGCTAAAGGCGTAGGGCCAGCCATTTGTACTAATGCTAGAGACCAACTTAGAAATGGACCAGATATCACGGTGAGGTTGTGCCGGGGTGCCAGCGGTCAAGGTCCGGCGGACTGTTTTCGTCGGTCCGCCCTCGCCACAGCGCTCTCGACAGATGAACGTGTGGAGTTGTGTGTAGGAGCAAGAACGGATGCTCCGGCAAGGTGCGATGTTACAGCAGTGTGCGGATGCCAAGTACTAGAAAAGTGAAGTTCATGCATATGTCTACAACGCTGGAAACATCCCGGCCACCGTCGGAAGTCGGAGCACCACTGTGTACGGCTATTTCGTAGGAGGACCCTGATTGACACGACGCCCAACCTACCATGTTCTCGGCGTCTCTCATTGCTTATCTCTTACGAAAGGACACATGTTTGCTCTCGATAGCTGACGAAAACTATGTCGACCTTGTGATCCTACAGCCACATCGTCCACGGCAGGAGCCAACGTCACCCTTACCGTTGATGAAACTGTTAGCAACTGTGCGTAGTATACGAAATGTTGTCCGTATCGCGTCCAAGACGGTAAATTTAGTCTTTGTCATCGACCCCATCAGTATCACACAACCTGCGTGCTACGAAGCTGTTCTTGCTCCTCTGATCGTCACTCATACCATTCTGTGAAACTAAAAACTCGTGGAAGTGCTGAACCCAACAGGTGTACTCCGTTTTTATTGCAGACAATTCAGCCTAGCGTTCCCATCTACCACCTTCGACCAACCTGCTTGCTCTTTGTACTGATCAACGCACCCGGTTCCCAGATGCGCTGGACAAGTACGAGATCGTCGCATCAGCCCCCCCAACAAGGTAGCACTATGTCGCGGAGCTTCTGGCATTGCTCCCGCGACCTGTCTAGCATCCACCCCCCCCTCGCTATCTGCGGAAGACCGCGTGGGTCTGTGCCAGGGGGCCGCCGAGGAGAGCCCGACCACTCCAACCGCTTGCCTGAAAACAGTGCCGCAGGACCTTCCGTCGGCCTCTGCGGTTGCCCTTTGCCGTGGGGCCGCCGACAAGAAGGCCGCCGCAGAGTGCGCGAAGGTGGCCCGCCACACCGTCGGAGAATCTTCCGACGCGCTGATGACGCTGTGTCAGGGCGCATCGTCCGCGGCCCCCGCTCACTGCGCGAAGGCGGCCTTCCGGGCGGGCGCCGACCGACGCTTGGCCGCTGTGCTGTGCGCCGGATCGACGTCGCTAGCGCCGGCGTCTTGCTTTGCGGCCGCGCCCCGCCAAATCCCGGCGGATGTCCGAGTTGAGACATGTATCGGGGCGCTGTCCACCAGTCCGGCGCTCTGCCTCGCGGCCTCCGGGCCTCGCGAGCTTCAAGGACAGCCGGATTGGGAGGCCGTATGCCCACTAGACCCTGAGGCTGGCAGGCGTCCTCGGAGAGGGGTTGACCACCGATTAGCTGCTCGTGTATGTCGGGACGCATTGGACGACAAACCGGCACTATGCGCGCGAGCGGCGCCGCTCCGAATGAGTGACAGCGATGTGGAGGTCCTCTGTGCGGCCGACGGGCAGCCTGGCGGGGAAGAGACCGCAGATTGCGCAGCAGCCGGTTTGATGATCGGGTTCAGCGGCGCCAGTGCCGCCTCGCTCTGCCGCGGGGCAAGCTCGGGAGCGCCTGTCGCCTGCGCCGAGACGGCGGCGCACCGGATAGGGGAAGCCGGACGGCTCGCGATCTGCAAGGGGGCGTCGAGCACTGCCCCCGCGCGATGTGCCAATTCTGTGTCGGGTGCGGGAGCCCCTTCCGCCTCCGAAGTTGAGGAGTGCCGGGAAGCCGTTCCCCGTCCATCGAGACTCCACATCACAGACCTCGGGCACGAGGGCGAAACTCTGTTTCCCGACCAGCCCATGCACGCCACACTCGAGGTCTGGGATCAATGGGGGGGCAAGATCCACAAGGACAGCTCAACGGTGGTGCGCGCTTCCGTCGCCTTGCGCGGATCCAACGGTGCCGTCGCGAATGCTCATGGGCGCTTCAACACTTCAGACGTCGGCGTCGTTCATTTCTCCCACCTGTCGTTCAGTGGGTCCGGAAACTTGACGCTTCAGTTCTTCATAGACGGCAATGACAGCAAGGATGTAGGAGCCGCGAACGTCCCGTTGGCTGCCGCACGAGTAATCGTGGAAGAGACGGAGCATGGCGCCATCCTTCGCCGATGTAGGGCAGTGTTCAGCCGGCTCGCTTGTCCCTGGCCCGTGAAAGGCGAAGGAGCGAGCGGTGAATGGGTGAGCGACGTGGGGATGGGAACGGGCGCGCCGCACCAGGTGCGGCCATCGTCGTCGGTTGCGACCGAGGCTGTTTCCACCGTCTCAGGGGGAGCTGGCGCGGCGTGGTACGTGATGACGTGCCAGCAAGTACTGGAGGAGAACGGCATTAACGTAGCTTACGTCTACTCCCCGAGCACAGAGCCACTCTTGGCTTTGCTCTGGTACCACCCCGGCATCGAGACTCTGGAAACGGGCGCAGGGTTGCCGACTCGAGATCAACCTGCGTGGGAGCGGCTGGGGGTGGATCGGGACGCGAGTGGTCGCGAACTGCGACGCGCTTACTACCGCCAGTCGCTGCTCTGGCATCCGGACCGCTGGGTGCGGTACGCCATACACTCTGCGCGCGCTCAGGACGTGTTCGAACTTGTAGGCGACGCTTACGAGTGGATGGTTTCTAGCTCTAAAGCTTTGGAGAGAACAACTAACGCGTGACCAGTTAAACAGTGGCAGGAGAAAGAACTGATTAATCGTGTAGAAGCGACTTTTCAATGTTGTAGCCACCGTTCGGGGATGTTGCAACACGAAAGAGCTACCCGCTTCTTGCTAAAACAAATGCCAAAATTCGTTGGCGCTAGCAGATCAATCGTGCTGTTGGCACTGCGTGGAACGATTTCGTGCTGGCGCTGTACATGGGCGCCGGTACTTCGGTCGGACTTCACGTCAGCTAAGGCAGACCGCTCAGGTTTAATTTGTACTTCAAATTACCAAAGATCTCTGCTGAAGAAGTATTTTGAGGTGGGCGCTTGAACGCGCACATGCGTCGGCAACGTGCAACAACCTGGCGCCTCGATGCTGAACACTGTTTTCTCGTTTGCACAAAACAAACGCAACACTCAGCATGCCTCGATACCAACTCCCATGCCTACGTATAGGCATCCGACAAGCCCTGCACGCCCGTGGACAGCGCAACCAAAGCTCATTGCAAGGACCGCAAGGCATCCATTCCCTAGGTTCCGTCTCTGGTAGGGAGTCGTTCTTCATGACCCCTATCGTCATCGGATGTCGACCTCTGTTCCGCGCGTTGTCAACACAACAAAAAAATGCACGTCACTCAATTCTAGTCTGCCCTTCTTGGTGGGCAGCGCAAGCCATAAAAGCAAAAAATCTGTCTGTTCGTAGCATCACCACGGGATGACGTCGCCCTTGAACCCCCAAAACGTTCCCGAATTCGACAGGTCTAGCTCCTCGATTCTATCCGTCATGCCCGCCACCGACTCGTGGGTGTCAACCAATCCGGAGTCGCCGGTCATCCTTGTCCTCACCCAGCCTGCAAATACACGCACGGGAGAGTGCAGCTTTGATGAATGGTAATGGGTCACAATGAAACCATGAGTAATGATAGTCTAGACGGAACAAACATGCACAAGCTTCGTCATCTTTGTATCACTAACTCACGTTGTGGGATTCCAGAACAACACAAAACAAAACTGGTGACTGTTTTCAACAAAAAATAAAAACTTGAGTACGAGATTTTCGCGCTTGGGTTTCAAGGCGAAAGGGACCATGTTGCCGTTGTTGGCCCTAGAGCAATTGCAATTTCAGCTGTCTCACCCGGGTGAAGAATGGCAACGGCCATACCATCGCCCTTCAGATCGTGGGCCAATGACACACCCGCAGCATTGAGTGCGGCCTTGGACATGCGATACCTGGCAGAACCATCATGCGACAGGACGAGAAGATATCGGGCGTAAACCCGCGAACAGTAAGGAATCGTTCGTGCAGTATATGGGCGCCAACATCTAAAACTCCTGGGAAGTATCGTCCAGCCGGAGGAAGAAACGTTGCTATGTAAAAAGGGACGGAAATCGAAAACCGAAAGGGTGAGAGATTGGTCATGTGCAAAGTCTCACCCAGAACTACGTTCTCGTGTTCGTTCGGTCGGTTCCTTTCACATATCTTTGCTACACACCAGTACCCTCGATTCTTTGGTACGGAGTAGGGTTTCTCCAGCCCTACATCCTACCCGTAAGCTCCGCCCGATGAGTTATCCGCCATCGATCCCATCTTTGATGTGATCAAGATGATTTTTGCCCCAGGAGCAGCCAACATCCTCTTGCCGAGCCTGTATTGTTGGCAAGAACAAAAGAGCACACGATTGGCAACTTGAGGTGGTGGATGTATGCTATGCACGTCCTTTGCTCCTTTGCGGGAGTAGACTTGTGGGGCCTAGTGGCACCAGTCACACATGACGCTACAGCAACTTCTACCATCATGTCACGGAAGATTGAATTCAACACGAAAGCTTCTCCACCCCTCCGCACATGAGTACCGATACCATCTGCTTACTGCATGCAGCACTCACAGAGTGTTGGTGATTCTCAAAGCACCGTAGGCGTTAACCTCCATGGACTCGCGCAAAACACCGATGTCCAGCGTGTTACGGTCTCGCTTCATGACTCCCGCATTATTGATGAGCACGTCCACCTTCGGGCTGCCGGCCTTCTCGAGGGCGCTAACGAGACACCCCGCCCCTTCGTCCATGGTAACATCCACCCCGTCCACCACGTGGATGTTCGGGTTGTTGTCGAAGAGCGAGCTCGCGTCCGGGGTTGCTTTTCGTCTGTTCATGGCGACGGAGGGTTCGTTTCAATGCGACGTCGAGGAAACGAAACGCAATGAATTGTAAGAGAGCTTCGGGGTAGAAAGGGTGCTAGTTGTTGGCTATTTCGCGGTAGGATGGGTACGTGACGAGTAAAATTGGACCAACATACGCAGCAAGCAAGCGAAGATGTGTTTACTTGGTGGACCAACATATACCACACGCCCGGTGTTGTTTCACGAACCAATCAACCGATTAGCTATTTCTAGTACCACCTCCTCTTGCGTACTCTCCCGCGATCAAGAAGCGAGTACTTCTTCCATACTCTCCCAAGGTCAAGAGACGAGCTCGTGGTCACAGGTTACCCCAATCCAATCTCCATACATTCCACATGCTGGCTACGTATCAAGATGCGATACACCTGTACCATTTACGGTGCGAGCCAAAATTGACATCCGCGTTGGATCCTTGTTGATGGATACAAACATGTTTGAATAACCTGAAGTATGTTTCATACCCCATAACTCCCGCCAAGTCCTTCCAGCGCAACACTCTTCAGCACAACAATAGTCACCCACACAAGAGTGCTGCGGAATATCCCTCGCTCAGCAATCGCGGTATCTCACGTGAATGGGTGGGAAACATGAGCGCGTGACGGGCACGATGCCCTAGAAAATGTACACCTACGATACGACAGCAACACATCCGCTACGCTCTCTTGTGGGCCGCAACAAAAGGCTACAATCGTACGATGCTGCTAGGGCTTGCTTTTATTGCCTCCTCAGTCCCACGTACCTGCAGGCGAAGACCTGGTCACCTTTGCTTGCGTAGTGCTTGCAAAACGAGCTCCCGATGCCCCCGTCAGCTCCAGTGACGACGACCGTGCGCCGGCCGGCTGCTGCTGCTGCTGCCATGGAGAAAGATGACGCCGCGGGTACACCGACCAACAACCGAAACGCAATCGCAATCCTAGATGCTCTGGCAGAGTGCAACATATCTTGCCAGGACACGGCTGCTGCACTGCTGTCGGTCGCCCTATCCCTATCCTTGCAAAAGCTGGCAAGTGGCAAGTCGCGCTGGCAGTGCAAGTGCGGCGCAATCAAGGCGCAATGGGTCGTTCGCTATTCGCTACCCCCCCCAGCTTTAAACTCCCAGCTGTTGTACGTACGGAGGTTCTGGACGTTCCGGGTGTACAACCTCCGCGGCACACAGCACGCTCTCTGGAGAGCCCACCCCTTGACTTGGGCAGGAAATCGACTTGGCACAGGTGACAGAAAGAAGCTAGGTGATGAATTGTGTTGCACCCACCAACTGCTTGCACTTAGGATGCTGCAGCAGCAAGAGAAAATCAGCCTGGCATCCACAATCTCCATCTGCAGCGCCAACAGCACCTCCTCGTGTTCCTGTGGTTGGCAACGTGTTGATATCTTGGCACCCATTTGCTGTGGACCACCGGCAGCTGACCCTGGGTGGGTGTGCGTTTCATATGATGCATGCCTGCAGATGCAACGTGTTTTTCCGCTTTTGCAATTTGAACCTTTCCCCTTTCCCCTGAACGTGCTTCAGGTGGGATCGAAGACAGACAGCAACAACAGCAGGCTGGCCGCGGATCTGGTTCTACCGCAGTACACAGCAGTACAGCAAATACTAATAGCAAGAGCAGCAGACCACCACCAGCATCACCAGCAGCAGCTGAAATGGACCCCTCGATGGACGACCCCATGTCCGAAGAGGAAGAGGACGAGGACATGGACCTTCCACCGGGCGAAAGCCGTAGCAGCGGCAGCGGCAGCGGCAGCGGCGGCGGCGGCGGCGGCAAGGGCGTGGTCGTGAAGGGGGTCGAGATCGCCGAGGAGGACGTGTATGCCTACGGCGACCCGGACGACCCGCTGGATCGGGTGCTGGACGTCTACCTCGCGGACGAGTTGGAAGACCACCTGTGAGTGTAATGCCCGTCATATTGATGCGTCGTCTCAGAAGTAAAAAGGTGCCGCCATTTTGTACCAGTTTTTTTTACCATCCTCGATTCGTTGTTCATGAACAAGCAAGCGCGTTCACGGGCGGGCAAAAAATAGTGGCAGTTGCATCTACGATATTAGCACTCTTCTGTGGCTTCAACTACTTCTGTACTGGGGCGTTTGTGTGGAGGAGAGGAACGGGGCACGCCGTACGTACCATGGCTCATCCCAAAGTGCGCTGCTGTGTTTCTACTCCCTGAACGACGTCGATTACAATGATAAATATAATAGGTACCTGCTGCAGTACCCGATGCAGCCGGCGGATCGCCCTTCGAGCACGCCCCTCGCAGTCAAGGTATGTACTACTGTATGCATATGGTATGAACGATCAACGATCAAAGGAACAACAGGAGAGAGACCGCCTTTTTAGCACTGCCGGCTTGTTGGTGGGGCAAATCGATTTTGAATTTTGTAAAAAATGGGTTACTCTGAGCGCCAGCCACGGGAATACTGTAGCAGACAGCACATGAGAGGATGTTCGCTCACCGCTGGTTAGACTTATTGATCATATAGCCGGTTGGTTGCTTGTAACAGTGTCTATTGACGGACTTCAGAGACGCCGTGACAGGGTGCGCTCTACTTCTTGAGCTTGTTCTTGGGGACAAAGAGAGGCAGACAACTTAGGCTCATTTGGATGAGTGACTTCGTCCAGTGCGAAACAACGACAAACGGGCGTTGTTTAAGCTGTTTTGCTAGTCTTGGTTTAGCGCCTCAGTTCCTGAAGTTGACGATATGTTGTACCCACAGGCCCCCAGGACGGCATCCAGTACGCTTATTAGAACAAGCCATCCTCGCTGTGAAAGCCTCAAAAGCTCCTCGAGGACTGCTTTTACGGATGGATTTACTAACGTAGTCCTGCTTTGGTGCAATACACGGTTTGCAAGTCCCACCGCCTCGCAATTGCTACGTATCCTCCGATACGCAAACTTCTTGGGACCAACATATCCATGCGGAAGACATCCCGCTATTTATTGCAGTGCAGCCAAGAGCAACGAGACCCGCTTCTCAACCGCCTTACCTCAAGAAGAGGGTCTTGTACTTATCCGAGGCCGCGTTGCCCCCCCCCCGCCCCCTCTCACGTCACAGGTGAAAGCAGCGAACCACCTGCTGGAAGTGGAGCACCCTATCAAGCAGGGAGGCAAGCACTACGACAAGAACGCCCCGGGGCAACTCCGGCGGGCCACTCAGAAGCACACGGGCAGCAGGTCAGGCTGCTCCTTCGATCTTCCTTTTTATTTAATGTATCAAGTTTCGTGGCGGTTGCTCTTGTGCTCGTTGCAAACTGTTTATACTCCAGTTTTGAGCTAGGGTGGTTGTGGAACTGTTGTCGGTTGGTGCCGAACACGTGGTCCACACAAAGCTCGCTTCGACTCATCGTTCGTTGTGGGGTGGATCACGATGCGCGCGAGCGCGAGCTTTGATGTACGAGTCGTTAAGGATCGGTTCCTAGCTGGAATCGCGATGAGACTCCTAGTCGCCGAGGCCTTCGATGTTCAGCTCTCGTCTTTTGTTTTCCGTGTGATTGACGAGTTCACGCAACGTGAGGATGGCGACCTCGGCAGGAGGCGTGCCTCCACACGACCCCGGCTCTTACCCCTCAATGCTCCTATGCTAGCTAGGACCAGACAGACAGACAGATAGAGAAGGCGCAGGGACAACCAAACAGAGAGAGAGAGAGAGAGAAGTAGAAAGGGAGAAAGAGATAGAAACGACGGGGGCGACAAGACTTCAAACTGCATGGAACCTGCATACTCAATCAAATCGTTTCTCATTTTTCTCATCTACACCGCTCGTGGTGGTGGTATGCAGGGTGCGGCCGGCGACCAACTTCGCGTTCGGCGTGATTCGGAGCGACGAGCTACACCTGACCCCGATCCACGCCACCATGCAGATGCGTCCCTGCTTTCAGCACATCGATGAGGCCAAGGTGGGCGGGGTTGTTGCGTTTGTTGTAGGTTTCACTGCGATGGGGTTGCCGTGTGGTCTCTGCTGTCTTCAGTCCCTTTGTTTCGTCCGACTGGTGGACTAAGCATCAGCTGAGAACCTGTGGAGAGAGAGAAAGAGAGAGAGAGAGAGGACTACGAGAGGGAGGCAGAAAAAGAGAGAGACAAGGGGAGAAGAAAGAGACGGTACGAGTTGTGGGCCGAAATAGAGGGGAGAGAGCTACATACGTTTTCTGCGGCATTGATCGCTACGGACAGGATTGCATTGATACCTGTCTTCGCCCGCCAGCCCACACCAACAACACCCGCCACCATCGGTGCGACCTTGTCTGTTGAAATATCTGCGTTGGGTTGGGTTGTTTGGGTGTCCCCGTTTGGCGTCGTTTTTGTCCCGCCGTGTTTGCTTGTCGTCCGACCTCTCGGTGTTCCCTGGTGCCACACTGGTCGATTGCGATGTCGGGCTAGTGAACCCCAGCACCACCGGCACTGCCCGTCACCACACCCCGCCTTCTCGCTTCGCCCGTTTTTTTTTCCCTTCTTCCTGTCTCGTTCCTCCGCGTCATGCATGTACGCTTGCCTCTCTCACACCCTGTGCTCTGCCTCGTCACCCACCGCGATCTACGTGCGTTGGCTCGGTCTCTGCTTTAGCCCCTCGTAGTCGCATGAAATCAATCCACCAACCAGGGCCGGCTAAAACCGTCTCGGCATTGTAGGGATGCGAGGTCAACGACCTCGGCGTGCGCTTACATGTGTACCCCCCCCCCCCTCCTCTCTTTTTGAACCACCTTTGGTAAAGTCGGAAAGAACGATTGGCCATCGGTGATCGGTCCTCTGTGGGAACAATGCTCCGTCCTCTCGAGGACGCGGGGTCAACGGTCTAACCACTACGGCATGCAAAACATTAGAGTACGCCCCCCCTCCCCCTCTCCACCAACCAACAATTCAGGCTCAGGAGATCGAGATGGATCTGGACGACCCCGATAACGGCGGCACCAAGGAGGCGGAGAAGCCGCAGCAGGTGTCGTTCAAGAAGAAGGAGAGCGAGCGGGCCACCGCGGCGCGAAAGTCGTCGTACGCCTACAAGAAGTCCATTGAGGACGCCGAGCCGTGGGTCGCCCTGGAGGTGTGTGTATCGGAAATGGAAGAAGTGCCTAAAGTCTCTCTCTCGCTTTCTCAACGACTACGACTAGCAAGAAGGAGCACGGGAGGGAGGGGGAGAGAGAGAGAGAAAGATAGAGAGAGAGAGAGAGAGAGAGAGAGAGAGAGAGAGAGAGAGAGAAGAGACGGAGAGAGAGAGGGAGAGAGGGAGAAAGACAGAGAGTCTGAGGCGACGGCCGAGTTTTTGGACGATTGTTTTTAAGATATTGGTGTAAGATTTTAGCTTTTGCCCTTGCAACCACTCGTGCGTGTTGGCACTGTTGAGTCGTGGGGGGACACGACACGGCGCACGTCAGAGCCGCAGTTGGGTCCGAAGGATACACAGGGTTGTAAATCTAGGCAAACCGCAGCGGTGAATCTTCCCTACCTTGCCCAATCGCCGGAGGGGAGGAAATCAATCCTCTCTCTTAAGTGTCTTGTCTGAATCTAGAGTCTGATTGCGGATACGACTGCGCCGGGAACCCGGATTGCGCCAGGTGCACGGCCAGAACGACGATCGGTCCCTGGACGAATTCTCCCGCATGTTCGTCGACGACGACGCCAGCGCCAATCGCGGGACGACCACCAAGGAATTCCCCCCGTGCGAGCGTTACCTCCAGGGGCTGGATTACATGGAGGAGTACGACGAGAACGGGGAGTCTTTCTCCGCCGGGGGCAGGGGACGGTGAGTTTTTTTTTTGTGTGTGTATGCATCGGTGGTGGTGCGTGCTGTTTTGGTCCGGTGAGGTGGAGATGCTGTTGGTTTCGAAGGCCGAGTGGTTGTGGCGGCTGCTGTGGTTGGTGGTGGAGGCTGTAGTGTGTGATGGTGTGGGGGGTTTTGCTTGTGCTTGAGGTGGTTGTGAGGCAGGCATCGACAAACTGTGTCTTGGTTCGATTGTTGTTGTTCCCGCGCGATGTGAAACCTTCCCTGGGTGTTTTCAACTCTCGATGGATCGGCTACACGCAAAAACTTCTTGGCGCCCTCCATACGTTTCGCCGCGATCACGGGCTTAGCGTTTCCCCTCTTGTTGCTTGCGCCCCCGTCACGCAGAGCTGACGCTCTCTCTCTACATGCGTGTTCCATGTTCCATGTTCCCCCCCGCTGTTGCCTTTGTTGCGCGTCGGTGATCTTGCTGCTTGCGAGCAGATCTCTGGCCGATAGCATTGACCTGGTCACCGCCGGAACGGGCACGTACTCTCCCGTCAACCTTCCCGCGGCTCCCGCGCATCAGCTGGGGGGGGATGCCAAGGTACGCTTGCTAATTGGCAGTGGTGCCGTGTTCATACCGTTGTTTTTGTCGAGTTGACACATTTCTGGAGTACCTTGCGAGCAAGAGGTTGAGTCGGACTGTTGCAAGGGTGGCGGTGTGGTTGCGACCCTGTACGGTTGAGTGTTCACGCATGAAACAATGCCGTTCCTTGACGGAAAATGTTGCGTGTTGTCGACGTTCTGAACGGTTTTTCCAGTATCTGGAGCAGCCCCCAAGGACTAAAGATGCTAGAAGACATGTTGTGCCCCCGCTCCTCCGTGTCTATGCGTATCACCCCGCCCCCGCCGTTGTTAAGTACCTCCTGTTTTGTTTCCCCAGGCTGTCTCTCTACTCACCACGTCTTGTTTGTCTGCGTCACCCCCCCCCTTCTCCCCCTACTATCGCGTACTCTCCTCCCTGTGCTCCTTTTGCACTCCGGCAGGTTGTGGGGTACCTCAAGCTGGCTCACCTCGTGCCCTTCAGCATGCTGCTGGACGTGACCAACATGTCCCCGGACGCCGTGCTTCAGGCGCTGAGCGTGGAAGGGCGGCAGAAGGGGCTGCTGATGCGAGGCAACTGGGCGGCTCTGCCGGCGGACGTTTGGCCGCGGGGCCCCCCGCATGCCGCCGACTGCTTGTCGGTCGCGCAGTGTTTGCTTCACAGGTGGGCATGGCAGGCATTCTGCTGCTGCTGCGGGTGGCCACTGTTCTCTTCTCTGTTTGCATTGGTAGTCTTAATTAATTTAGTCAGCAAGCTAAATAGGTTCCCGCATGCTTGGGCAACTGTTCCCGCCTTTCCGGCCATCCTGCCTCGACCGCGTCATCACGCGGCCTTTGTGGTTCGCGATCATCAGTTCTTTGGACCCACCGCTTTTGGTGTGTGTTTCATCCTCTGTTGTTAATGCGTTCACCAGTCTGCAGATTCTGGTACTAACGATGCTGTTTGATTGTCACGTGTGTTTTGATCTCCGTCCGCCCCCCGGCGCCCAATGGTGCAGATACGGAGCCGTGAGCCGACCGGACTTGCAGAGACGTTTCCCCGAACTCGAACCCGTAACGCTCAAGGAACTCCTCTTGCGCATCGCCGAGCTCGACACAGTCGACAGAAGGTGAGAGGTGGCTAACACCATGCATGCTACTACTGGTGAAGTGTTTCCTCATTGGAGAGAGCAACCAAAAGGCGGTCCTGAGAATATGCGTATACCGGCGGTGATCAAAACTGGTGTGACGTGGTATTGCTGTTTTTTGTCTTTTCTCTCCTTCTCTCCTTGCCCAATGCACACGAAACGCCCCGGGGACCATTTTTTTTTTTTTCCATGGATTCATGGCGTGAACTGCTGACTTCTCATGCCCACAGGTGGGTGCCCAAGGTTAAGGACGGACTGACGTTCGGCATGGAGCACCCCGAGATCGTCGAGCTCGAGGAGGAGAGATGGACGCTGCACGAGTCCATCCTGAAGGTGAAGGGTGGTGATTTCAAGCCCGTGGACCGCGCACGTCAAACATTCTTTGTTCGTTAGTTAAAGCCGACCATCATTTTGGTGTCATGATGAATGTTTTTTTATCATTTTTGATGGATTTCACGGGGTCCCTACCCCCCCTGCTCTCTTTCTCTCACACAATGAGAGAAATGGCGAACGATGCCCAAACCTATCCTCGCCACGTGTGCCTACCCACGTTCATCTGGGGGTGGCCGTCAGGAGCTTAGCCGCGCCGTAGGTTACACAGCAACACGTGAGCCCCAGCCTCCAAGGCTGTCGATTCGGTCCAGCACATCCGTTGCACCCATCTCTAGACTACATTGCACCCCCGTCTCGGCTCTTTTGGTAGGCAACCATGGCTTGCGTGCGCACGCTATTTACTCGCGGCGTACTTTGTATCAGGACCAACAGTCTACGCATGTTCTTGCTGCTGGCGTACTTGGTTCTTCTGTGCCACTACCGCTACTGCTGCTGCTGCTGCTACAGCAGCTGAGTTGATGGTTATCTTGATGTCATGGAACCTGTCGTCCTCCCCGTCGCCGTGTGTGCACAACAGGAACGGTTGGGCGACGACATCCTCGCCCCGCCGTCGTGCCCAACGTTCGGCACCTTCGTCAAGGTCTTGGAAGCCGCGGCGCGCGCCGCGTCGGCGGCGTCGGCATCAGCCGCCCGAGCGCCTATGTCGCGCGCCGTGCCGTCGTTCGGCGTCCTGAGGCGGGGCGAGGTCGCCGCCAAGGAAGAGATAACGGAGGAGGAGGAGGAGGAGACGGTTGCGCCGGCGAGAGGGGCGGAGCCCAAGGAAGAGAAGCCCAGCGTCATCGAAGAGGCTGGTGCTGCGGCCGCCGCCAAGGGGAAGGCGAAGGCCGGGCCTGCAGCCGTGGGAGCAGCAGTAGTAGCAGGAGCAGCGGCGCGTGCTCCTGCCCCGAAGCGCCACTTCAAGCCGAAGAAGAGGCCGGCGAAGGCGGCCAGCGCCGTGAAGGAAACGGCGGTCAAGCAAGAGCACGAGGGGGATGACGTGGCTGGCGGAGGCTCCGCCGCGGGTGTTAGTGGTGGTGGTGGTGTTGGTGGTGTCGAGGAGTCGAAAGGGACAGCAGCAGTAGAGGAAGGACGAAGTGAGGGTGGCTCGGAAGGGAGGAGGGGGACGGCCAGATCAAGAAGAGACGCGGCTGCCGCTGCCCCCGCGGTCGACGGTGGCGACACGAAGGCCTCTGCCGGCGGCTCAAAGAGGCAAGGGGGTGGCAGGGGCGCGGCCGCAGGCGCCGTCGCGTTGCCCGCGGCCAAGGAGGAGCCACGAGAACAGAGCAGCGACGTCAGCCTCCCCGCGGAGGGCAAGGGGAAGGGGCCTGCTGCTTCTGGTTCCGGGGATACCGCCATGGGAGAGGGGGCGACGGCCGCAGAAGCAGCAGCAGGGGGCGATGCCGATGCTGCTGCTGCTGCGGCGGCGGCGGCGGAGGAAGAAGTGGAATGGAGGACGGAGAACAAGGCTGCCGGCGGGAAGTCTAGAGGCCGCGGCGGTGGCGGCAGCAGCAAGCGGGAAGAGCCGGCGACTAGACCAAAGGTCAAGCCACGATCAAACCGCTCGAAGTCTAAGGGGAAGTGATGAAATTGGCCGATAGATAGGACAATATATGTTTTTGTATCTCTGCGGGGTTGACAAGGCTGTGCCGCTTTCGAGTGGGCAGCACGCATGGCCATGCGTTGGAGCTAATGCGTAGGGAGGGAACAGGTTGGACGAGGGAGCGATATCAGCTTGCGGGCGGAGAAAAGGGACGTGGTTTTGGTGGGTGCCGGGGTAAAGGTGCGTTGCGACTATGGTAGCGAGCGGTTGCCGGGCGGAGATGATGCCGGGCGGAGAGATTATATTCTTGCCGGTTGTTGGTGTGAAGCATCGGTGTCTGGTACTTGGAAGTATTTGGTTCTGGAAGAGCTTCTTCGGACGGGAATATACGCTCTCACCGCCCCCCGACGTAGCCACAGCTTCTCATCCGTCCGAGCAGCCTCGTGATATGTTGGCAACCTGTGACTCTTTGTTGGTTTCTCCCCGGCGCCTATGGCGGGGGTCGTGCTCAGCAACAAATGACGCGAACAAGAAGCTTTATCGCTGCGTGTACGAGTGCTCTTGTCTTGTATATATACCTCCCACAACGTCGAGTGCGTGTGTGCGGGAAGACTACTACTACTGTAGGACTTTACCAAGCTTGAGGATGGATGGAAGGCGGGCACCGTCCGTGTTTGCTGTGGCCGGAGAGGCGGCACACGCACCCGGCCCGGATACCGGCTCGGGGTTTCCACTTGGTTGCTTCGAACACAACGAAAGCAAACAATAATTAGGCTTTGCTTCTACGCGTGTTCCGATGACAGATGGCGGCAAAGAGATAGTTAACTGAGTGTCCTTGTCGCGCTCTAAAAATATGAAAGAGTAGGATCATCTCGTACGACGGCGTTGACGGTGCGCGGAAAAAATTAGACGTGTAGATACTTTTCTCCTCGTTTCGACCGGTTGTTGGCCCATCAACCCACGTCCCCTTGTTTTCTTCAGGTGCGCGAAAATGTCACCCGATCAACTTGTCATTGCCCGGTCCCCCCCCCCTCTTTCTCTCTCTCACCTCCTACCCCCTCTCGAGGTCATCCCAACTGCTGGTGGTGCATAGACGCTGGTTTACGCCACCCAGAAGCACAACAAGCGCAAGCTTCCTGAATGGGTGAAACGTGGGTGTTGACGGGGTCCGCGCTCCCCTTTCCTCACCCCATCCTCGTTTCTTGCGGTCGTACGAAGCTCGCATCGTACGCAATGAAGCTGATGACTTGTGAAGCACGAAAGCCACGACGACCCACCGGGCACACGTACCTGCCGACACTCTAAACCAATGCCCTCTACAACCAACCGTCTTCTCGTCTTCTCATAGGATCACCTCCAGTCCGAACTCCGGGGGCCCGGCCAATACACGAAGGTAAAATTACAGTTGTGAGTGCGCATCTGATAACCATCTCTAAAGTGTACACCACCCGTATCCTTCCGTCAAACGCATATAATAATGTCGCATCCCTCGAAACTCCCTTCTTCGTGGGTAAAAAAAAACGTGTTCACTAAAGCCATGTAAGCGCCGATCGCATATTGTGCGGGTGCTGATGATATCATGTGTGTAGACTGCAGGCTCTTCTACCTCGTTTCTAGTAGTAGTAGGCAAGGAAGGCATGGCACCGCTCCGCCGCGTGCTAGGCAAACAAAAATAGTGCATGATGCCAAGACGCCCCCTTCCCATCAAACGTATCTGATACATTGCGTCACACCCAGCCAGCGGAAACAACTACTGGTAGACTCTACCAAGAGTTCACCTTCAAACTAGATTGCTGTGCTATGTAAACTAACCTCCAATTTCTTTCCGAGCCCTGAAAAACCAACCTCTCTTCTTTTATGATACAGTGCGTATAGGCAAAACCTTTTTTTTTCACTCACGGTTGTTGCGTAAAACATACACCGACAGCAAGGTGTAAACTGGCCCCCAGAATACATGGCGGACGAACACACAACACAACACAACACAACACAACAATCACTCTGGAATTTTCTGCACTGTCGGCACCGTGCTTTCTTCAAAGGCTGCAAAGGCTCTTTCAAGACCGTATCAAGACAAAGACTGGCACGCACGGTGATACGGTCGATTTTCGAGGATACGCAGAGAAAATTGTTCCGACGGAATCTACTATACCCGCGAAAACTCACTACTGTACAATTGAGGCAAGGACATGCAATGAATTGTCTCGACACCGGAGCAAGCAACAAGAGCCCCTCCATAACCCTCCCACCCCCGCAAACCTACTGATTGACAACCTACATCCCAATATTGGACTGCCCCACTAGACAAAGCGAAACCAGTACACTCAAAACACGACACCCCATTCAAAACGTATTTATTTGTTTTCGGTGGCGTAGTCTATACATGATTGTTCACGCTGGACACAATAATAACAAGGACACCTGACAACGGTAACGCCAGCAACGCAATCACTCACGATGCACCCACGGAAAATGTCTTCCAAAGCTCATCTGGACGCCCTTGACAAAAGCGGCCGTGCGTAATCTCTCTATCTAGTGCTGCTAGGCCCACCGTCCGGTCCGAGCTAGCAGCCACCCCACTTGAGAGGCTCCACGCCCAAAAGTCAGCCCAGAGAAGCATGAAAACACACAATTTCTAATCAACCCCAGTCGCGGCCGACCGCGCACTCAGAATATCTTCGGTTTTCATATCGCCCTTTCCCATCGCGTGCGTGTTGACAAACCAGCAGCGTCAATCAACACTGATTGGTCACACTCACTCGTCGTGTAGAAAAAAGAACACCAAAACGAGAAAAAAAAAACCATGATAATGGGGCACAATGCCTTCTCAACACCCTGCAACAACTCCAGCATCTAGCAGTCGAGAATCTTTTTTTTGCCGCCGCCACCCGCCCGATACTCTTTTTCTATAACAGTTGCCGAACCACTCCAAACTGGTCAGCGTCCACTCTATTATTACACATCATCTACAAGAGGGAGGGGCGGGGCCAGGGCGAGGGGGGGACGACGCCTAGCATCGAGGTTCACGCGCCGCCTGTACTTGAATCGAAGCACACCACTTCTCTCCTCCCCAACGCACTCGCTGGCATCACAGATCGTCCCCACCCACCCGTGGACTTTTCACTCATGGGGGGGCTTCCGTCATGTACGCTACACACCTCCTCTATCTTCCTCCCTCCCCCACCTCCCGGTCCATTTGAACCTTCAACCATTCACTGAAAACAGCCTGGCTCAATCTATCCAACCAAGCGGAAGGGGAACGCGCCGTCTATCGTTCCATGACATTCAAAATGTGATCGCACAAGGACAGGGTCTGGCAGCACCCCCCCCCCTGAAGCCTTCCGACCAGCGACAAAAAAATGTCCCGTCACCCCAGATCGTCATCACCGCCACCGCTGGGCTTTCCCGCGAGGACACTGCAACAGACATACACAAAAGTACCGACGGCATCTAACTCCCCCCCCCCCCCCTCCCGCCATCCTTGTCCGTGCCCCACGGCACACGGAATGCTTGTCGGCATGAATTGAGAGAGCTAGATCGCGGCCGAGGTGGAGCTTGCCTGCACGGCCATGGGAACGGCGTGTCCCCCACCTCCGCCGCCGGTCTCTCCTCCCCGCCCCTCCTGCTGGGGTGGGGCTCGTGCCTGAATCTTGAAAGCCTTCCGAACGGTGGTGACCTTGCTTGCCTTCTTGCCCTTGCTCCGGCCAGCGGGCGCCTTTGCCTTGGTCCCCGCCTTCGGCTTTGCCCCCGCCGTCGCCGCCGCCGCCGCCGCCTTCGATTTGGCCGGAGCGGCGCGCTTTCGGGGAGCCGCGGGGGCGGGGGCGGGGGGCGGGGGCGTGGCTTTGGCCTCAATCTCGGCCCTTGGAACTTGTTCGAAGGTAACCTCCACGGGGCGGATCATGAGGAGGGCCGCGATCTTCTCGTCTGAAACAGGTCGGCGATCGTGGGGCGGGAGAAAGGGGCGGTATTTCAGACCAAATGCTTTCTAAAAAGTGCATCAGTGGTTGGTCAACAAGACTGACTGTCAGCAAGGGGAGTTAAGGTGTGCCTGCGCGCAAGTGCGCCCACCTCAAGCAACTCGCCGAAAAGGGTAGTGACTCTAGTCAACGATCCATACACTAATCGAAGGCTCCGCGACTCTTCGCGGCGCTAGCATGGTACCACGATCTCGTTACCGTCAGCCCACCCACCTCCCAGACGCCGCACGCTCTTGCCGCCCACCGCCGTTAGTCGCCAGCCGTTCGGAACCGCAGCGGCCGCGCTCGTCGGCGCCTTGCCGGCCAGGCGCATGGTGCCCTCCTCCGTGGTGTCTGCTTCCAACCCCATCCCTAGGCTACCGGCCGCCGCAAAGGTGACGACCATCGGAGGCGCGGCAGCAGGCGTATGCCCCACCGGAGACGCGCGCCTCAACTCCTCCCCAGCCCCGACTCCTGCTCCGGCCCCGACCGCCGCACGCGCCGCCGCCGCCGCCGCCGACACCCCGGTCCCCTTCTTGCTCTTCTTCCGCCGTTCCTTGTCAACGGACGCCGCCCCTCCCTCCCGGCGCGACGACTTGTCCTTGCGTTTCTTCTTCAGCCCTGCCCCCTCGGAGGAGGCCGGCGGCGGCGGCGGCGGCGCTTCCCCCGCTCCCGCCGCCGGCGTCACTACCCCGGCAGCTGCCGGTGTAGGAGCGGCCGTTTCGCTGCGGTCGCCGCTGCCATCCGCCCGAGGGGTGCCGAGGTCGACACTATCTCTACCTCCGGTTTGCCGCGCCATCGCCGCGGCTTGGTCGCCCCCGCTCAGGTCTAGCGGCCCGCTCTTGTTGCCGCTAACCTTACCTGCCGCGACGGCGGAGGACGGGGAGGCTGTCTTCCTCTTGATGACGAAAGGAGCCGAGCACAGGCGTGGGGCCGACGATGACTCGCCAGCAGCACCAGCTCCACCGGCAGCACCAGCCGCCGCCGCCGCCGCCGTCGCCGTTGGCAGCGAAGGGACTCTCTTCGGCACGACCGCTCCTCTTCGCCGAACCACGCTCTTCCGCACAGCGGCGACCGAGGCCTGCGCCGCCGCCGCCGCGGCCCTGCTCTCCGGGCTCTGCTGCTGTTGTTCCCCCAGGCGGCACACCAGCAAGGGAGGGGGCGGGGTCGACGCGTTGGGATCCGCGGGCGGGGTAACCACCACCGGCGCGGATCCCCGCCTCTGATCGTCGTCAAGACCACTGCTGTCCGCCGCCCCGCCGCCCACCCCTGCTGCCGAGGGTCCGGGCGTGCGAAGCCCAGCCGCCGCCTGCGTCGCCTTTCCGGAGCCGCCTCCCACGGAGCCGTCGTCGCTGTAGCCGCGTGCTGCTGCTGCTGCTGGGCCGTCCCCGTCGCCCGACGCGGGACCGGGAGTAACGGCGGGGGCCGCGGCGCCGGTCTTCTGGACGGCCACCGCCGTGCCGTTCGCGGTGGCGAAGGCCGGGGCGTCGCCGAACGTCCGACCCCCTCCTTCGCCCTGCACCTGCCAAGTGAAGGTCGTCTGCATCACGTGCACGCCCTGCATGCCTGCAGAGAGACGGGCGAAAAAGAACGAGGCCCCCCAAGCCGGCGGGGAAACAAAGCTGGTTCCCATTGGTGCGGGTGGGTGGTTGGGTGGGTGGTGGGAGGGGGGGGGGGGGTGTACTCTTGTTGTCGTTAGACCATTCACTTCGCACCCGTACGAAGCCGGGACGGAGCACGCCGGGTTCTCGCCGGACCAGGCTCTCACATCACCAAGCGCAGAGCGCCGTGAGGTATTCGGCGAGTCGCTTGGAGGGTGCGCTGCATCCTGCTACGGGTATTCGGCATCGTGTGCTTTCTTCGTTGCATACGGATGACAGCTGCGAATGACTGACTTCATTTATTTTCTGGTGCTTTCACGGTGGGAGGGGTGGGAAAACATTTCGAAGCGCCCTCTCGGACGGTTTGTGCTCGTGCGGTTTTGGACAAATCTGTCGAGGTGTTGGACAAATCTGTCGAGATGGAGACACAGGTTTCAATCCGCACCACGGGAGACTGCTGGCAGGGACTACAACCAAAAGAAAATGCAGGTACTTAGAGGAAGTGTAGGATGTGGCACTTGGAGGTTCTTCCAGCGAGGGGTGAGAATCAAGAAGTCTCCAAACGAGTATGAACAGACCATGTCGAAAGCTACCGCCGTATACGAACATGTCAATAATAACAATTACGTTATACCAGCTCCACGGTGGATGGGGAAGTGTTTTTCTACGGGTCAGAAACGCGACTAAAACCGTCTTAGTCAAACCTGACACGACGGAGTGCAAGAAGCTGCCCCATGGAGCAGTCGAAGCCAACAGAACCACTTGAGAAATACCTATTGAAAGAAAGACGTAAAGGAAGGCTGAATGACCCTCCCCGGCCTTGGTATAATTGAAAGCACTCGAGCGAGACACGTAGGATGGAAGCGAAGTACTGCCTACCGGCCGAGAGCGATGCGATGGATACACAACAGTGGACGTTATTACGGCACCGGCATGGGTTTTTACCGTCAAGGGCGTCCGTAAACGAGTCCAGAATGCGTCCGCGCATGGCCTTCGTCGCCTCCGGGATCTCCCTCTGCCCTCGAATAACGCACCAGCTCGGGTAGGTCAACACCTTAAAATAGTCGGCATCCAGGAAGGCGGGGGTATGGCGGGAAGAGGAAAAATTAAGGAGATCACGCG